AAGAGAAAGTGTACAACTCTTGTAAAATTAATTAAGTCATCACACTTGATGTTTCTTGTCAAGATGAATTGTCTTGTTTACAATATAGAGGTGTGGCAAACTAATTCAAGATTTTCTGTTGACTTTAACTTAAGGAGATACCCTATATATTGGATTGGTACAGGTGAAAACTTTACAAATTTGTGAAATTTGATGTGTTGAGGAAGAGTAATAAGTATGAGATTATTGTACCTTAGTTTATTTGGGTGTATGTTAAAGTTTAACTTAAATTTATTACAGATTTAACTAAAAATATTACAGAAATTGTTTAAGCTAATTCAGCATATATGCTAAGTCTGCTTTCATTAACCTGAATGTAATAAGTTTGCCAATTGATTTTATTGTTTAGTGATTCTGTAACTAAGTAACCCCCTAGCAATGTATCATCACCTAGATGTAACTGATGATTACTGCTTACATTAAAAAGTTAGTATGACAAACTCTTAATACTTTCACAAAATTAGATCTTATTTATAATTTACATTACCAACCTTTTAGTAACTGTTTATTTCAGCCTCCTATCTTTTACCTGTAATTCTTATTGTAGTGAATTACTTGGTGACACTTTTCACTTATTACTTGGTCACACTTTTAAGTTATTATTTGGTCACACTTTAAAGTTTTATACTTTGTAACACTTTTTGTAACACTTTTAAGTCATTACTTGGTAACATTTTAAAGTGATTACTTTGTAACACTTTTAAGTTATTATTTAGTCACACTTTCATGCTATTACTTTGGTCACACTTTCAAGTCATTAATGCACTTTTGATAGATGCTGACAAAGTTAAATGAGGAATTGACCAGGGGTTTCATCTTACAATTCAATAAAGTGGAAGATTTGTCATATAAGTATTATCATATTAAATCACCTTTCATCTCACAGCTGAATACAAGTTTATGGTCTTGTGGACATCTAGAGGAAAAATATTTCACTCTGGTTTACTTCTATCTCAAAATAGAGAAGATAGGATAGTTCAAGTATGGTCAACTTGTTTACATGGGTGGTGAAAAGTAGACATGGAATGTTCATAATTAATTTTTGCCCTGTTGTATGGTAAAGGTTTTTAGGACAGTAAACCTATAGTATAATGATAACATGACTTTCAGAGTTTTGTCATTGTGTAGGGTTTAAGGAAATTATTTTAAACTTCAATTTATACAATTAAATTGACAATAACCATTGTGTTAATTTAATTTAGAAAAAGAGAGGGGATTAATATTCAGAATGGTGTAAATGTAATAAGACAGGATATTAATATGTGTATTATTGGCAGTGTTGTGTATTTTTGACTTTTTATAATTGTCTGGAATGACTGCAGTTGAAGGGCTGTCATCATTCATTTTGGTAGCTCGGTGATTTTTTGGAACTGTCAACACCAGCAAATATTTATATATCCTTGCTGATGCACCACATTATCAAACTCTTCCTGGATCAGATAAACCAATGGCAAATTTTATATGACTATTGTACTCAGATGGTTTTGGAATTGAACTTTTATGGTTTTGATAGTAAACACATTGTACTTATGGTGTAGGAGTTGAAATTTTATGGTTTACACAGGATTTGATTGTTATTATTTTCAATAGTGTAGAAAGTGTAACTTTAAGATATGGATAAAGGTGTAGAAGGGAATGCTAGTGTTGAAGTCAAAGTTTCAGGGGTCAGTGTTGACATAGATCTTGATGCTAAGGTAGGAAAGTTTGATTTGGGTGGTATTTCTGTGCTGCAACTTTTTCAATGAATTGTCTGTTTTTGTAGACCAATAATGTAACCAAACAAAAAATGCTGATAAGAGCCAGGGCCCGCAAAATCTGACTTTGACTTAATTGTCTGTTTTTATCTGAAATATTTCTTAACTTGTCTATATGTAATTATATAGTAAATTCTTGAAAATTTCCACTTGGCTGTGGGACAACCTGGGCATATTCTGACAATTTTGCCGCCCCTGCTGATAACCAAACAGTATGAACCAGAATAACCAAAAAAAAAACAAAAAAACAAAACAAAAAAAACCTGAATATCAGAATGCAAAATCTGCTAATCATTTGTGAAATAAACCAATATAATCAATATATGTTAAAAGTAATTATAACGTAAAGTATAAACTGCAAGACTGCAGAGTTGTAAATAAAATAATATAAGCATACGGAGCAAAAGCTGCAAATAACAGTGAAATGATTAATTTTTGAGCCTGCTTTGTGTTGCAAATTAAGAGAACAACAATAAGGTATTACAGGTAGATTTAATCTGCTATAGAACAAAAGGGTATAACAGAATGCATTATCATGCATTTTCTTTCAAATTAAAGAACAATTTAAATTTTTCAGTTATTAGTCAGAATTGATTTTTTTTCTTCTCTAATTTACTTCGTCTGTGACTAATATTTAATGTGAAGTTTTTATGTTTATTAAAAAAAAAAGAAGATATTTTAAAGAATGTGTAACATAATGCCCCCAAAAACCTATTTAACATTAGATGATGTGAGGAGATAGATGTGATCTTGATGTATATCATAAGATAAACAAGGGTTTTTATTTACCTTTCATTTTGCTTATATTGAATTTTAAGTGCAAAAATATCAGCTTTGTCTGGTTATTGCGTTACAGTAACAAAGTATGTCTCAAATTTCAGGCTTCTTAATTGGCTGGTTAACTTTGAATGAGTCACAGGATTTATGGTAAATAACCTGCAGATATCTTGAATCATTGTAATACATAAGTTTTGTTTAGCCCCTTCCTAAGTGCTTTCATGTGAAATGTACTTTTCTTGGTTTTAATTTGAAATTTTCAAATTATGAATTGCATTCTTGTCAAGATTAAAATATTCAACTGGACAGTGGCTCAAATCTGTTCTTCTTGATACTGGTAATAGTCAATTAATGCTTAATGTTAAGTAATTGACAGGATAAACAGGTGCCCTCTCCCCTTACTAAAAACATAACTTCAGGTCTGAGTAGTGAAGTAAGTATATAAACATACAAATATGCAGATGTGTACACCAGGTTATAAACAGGTGTTTACTTCATCTCTTTTTATAATGATTAATAAAGACATAAATTTCATTGATATAACATCTGCATAATTACTCTTCTATCATTATGATGTAACTGACAGAAAAATTCAAAGTTTACTTTTGAGGGAATAAAATACACTTAACTACAGAGGTAAAAGCAGTGTCACTGGTTATTTGACAGATCTGAATGTTCAGATAATTTGTTTACCTGTAATACAGTGTTCAAATTTCCACCCACAAATCAGCTCATGCATTCCTTCATGGAATGTAGGCTAGAAGTTATTACAACAATTTTAATATGCTGATGCAGACAGCAATAAAATATTCATAACTTTTTACAAGATTATCATAAAAATTGTTTAATTTGAAGCAACCAGGAGAGGGGATTATTTTGAGGGTTCAAAGGTATGCTGTTGTGACTTACTGTTCACTGAGTTATGAATAGGTCGGTGTTAATTGCCTTGAACTTTTATAATGTTACATATAAAAACAAATGTAAACTTGTAAAAATTTAGGCAGTTATTTTTGCAATAACATAATTATATTAAAATTTAACAAACTAAAGGATATGGGTTAAGGCAGTTGTCAAACATTAACTCTCCATAATGTTTTTGTTCAATTAATGATAATGTAGCTGCTAATGAGTATTTACTCATTGATTTTTTTGTGAATGAGTCTGGAATTTTGGAGGCTTGAAATTTTTGTAAATGAGTAAAACCCTTTATCATGTTCCTATGTTTATTGCATACAATGTATACATTTGTAAAATGTACGTATACCTACATTGTAGTTATTAAGCTTATTCCAAAAGAAATGTACATGTACTGTATAACTCTCCATTTAGCTGCCGTTAATTTTTGACATAAGTAATATTTTATCTTTAAAAGAATTTTAACTGTTGAAGAAATGTAAATGTAATTGTTTTGATAAAGATAAGTCACCAAAAGTGCTATATATCTTAAATATTTTTTTTGTTTTCAACCAATATTTACTTATTCGATATAAAGTTTATCCGAAATCCAGTAATTTCATAAAACTCATGTCATTCTTTCCGGCATTGGTAGTTTTATTTTGAAATAATTTGCCTTTAAATGATAAAAAAATTAAATATTCATTCTTTGAACTCATATAAGCAAAATCTTAAAATGTAAAAATGAAAATGGGTAAACAATATTCCAGCTGATTATCATCTTTTTTGTTTCTTTTTACGATGATGGTTGAACGTAACTAATTAACAAGTACATGACAAGTTTTGCTGAGTAAATATAGCCCCTTATTACTGAGGAAAAACATTTACAGTCGTACTTATATCTTAAATATGTTTTACTGTTCAAATTTGTCATCTGCAACTCACCGATGTTGGCAATGGCCTACGCTAATGTAAAGGACAGTACAGAACATTGTCTACATTAATAAGCAAAAAAGCACATGCTTTATTAATCTGACACAAACTGTCATTTAATCTTTACACAGAATCATTTAATTGTCAAGTAATTTGTTTGTCTTGGACCACGGAAGTCACAGTCTGCAGTTTTGTGTACTTCTGCTTCCGTAACAGAGACGCTCTGATTGGCTTACAGCCCCACAAATGGATAGTATATTATCCTCTGCTCTTTGGGATTTAATATTTCGGCAAGATTGATTTCACTTTAATGTTTCGAAAGAGCGAAAAAGAGGGAAAATCATGAAACTTATTCACACATTTGTGATCAGCAATAAGTTGCGGCAGAAATGTTATTCATTGCGTAATCACAATATCTTGCGCGTTTTTTGACGCTTGAAATTTAAATTGAATGCATAAACCTGTGATTTTCATGCAAAATTTACACATAAATGTATATGCATTTTATCTGGAGCCCTGTGCATGAGAATTGAGAACTAAAGAAAACCGTTAGGCTTTAGTTTGTCACTTTGTACTAATGGATTGGTATTTTATATACTTCAGGTGACAGCAGGTCTAGCTAGCACATATATAGATGGACAGACAGGTGATGACTATGGGGACTTCCCACCTCCACCTCCAGAACTCTTACAGCAACAGTATCTGTATGGTGCTGCCCCGCAGCAAGGTGTGTACACTAATGTAGCACCAGGGGTCAAAGGTCAAGGAACAGTTGCATATCATCCAGGCAAAGGAACTACTGATGTTCCGAAAGCACAACAGGGCAAGGTGTCAAATATTCCAGTCAGTACAATACCCATACAGGTGGAGAAAAGGTAAGACACTTACAGGCCCTTAAAGCCTTATTTTTATTTCTCAAAAACTCTTTATTTTTGGTATCTTGTTACAGTTTCCAAAAAATAGTCATTTGCCATATAAATGAATTATCTTTGCTGCTTTTGCTTTGTTGGCAATTTATATAATTATAGTGAATAAGTATTTTGCATGGAAGTCAAAATACTACCTTGTTTACATTTTGCTAACTTAACGACACATAACTGCACATTCAGTGCTTCTGTCTAACATCAAACACGCCCTAAATCCATTATTAAAACATTATTAAACACATGTTTGACATTTCTCAAGGACTCAAGGATTTTAGTAAATATGGATTTCTGAGGCATAATGTGCCTTTAATCATGATAGATTTTATATAAATTACAAGAATTGATTTGTGAAATACTTTGAATTTGGTACAGTCCATTCATTATTGTTAGATTGAGGAATTTGATTATTTCAATAACAAAATTATAAAATGTGTCAGTAGAATAATGGCAAAGCTTTTACAGAGATTGATAAATAACTTATTTTGAATTTTTACATTTTCAAGTATATCAAGTGAAATCAAGGTTGAAGATATTGAACAATGTTATCATAGAATTATCATATCATAATTATTACATGAAACATACCCAGAAAACCATTTTTGAGCTACTTGGACAACTTGATTAAGAATATAATATTGGCATACTCTTGTAATCATCGTTCAGCCTGACTTTGTTGAGTATGTTTATGAATCTAGTGTTGTTTTGATAAGTTCAGTGCAGAGAAATACATTGTTATGGTTGAATTGAGCATGCTAGAGGCATATATATCCCATGACTTTGTCAAAATGAATAATATACCATTTACTGTAATACTAGCACAGTAACTGTGAATATTAGTTAAGTGGCTGGCCCTTGTTTTACATTAGAAGTACATATCCTATGACCAACAAACAAAACATGGTATATGTGTATTTTTTTACAGAAATGTAGGTCAAGAACCTCCTGCTCCACCTGCCTCCTTCAAATTGTTACCTGTTAAAACCGAGAAAGATGCTGGTCCCCCTCCCCAGCCACAGACAGCAACAACACGCCAGAAACCATCACTAGAGACTATTGATAGACAGGTTCTTCATACAGTGGATGACCATGCCATACAGGTATTTATTATTCTTTGTAAACAGCCCATATTTTACAACTATATTTAATTTGAAGTGATAAAATCTTGTGCAACTTAAGATTTAGTGTTAGATAAATTGACAATCATCTATGTATAATTTTAATTTATACCATCAACTTTATTTGAATTTGTAACTTGTTTATTCTATTGAACATTAGGTGTGTAGGGATCTGTACGATTGCACGTTTATAGGTCTATTAAAACCAAACACTTAGTACTTTTAATTTTTTTGTGCAAAGATGAAGTAATATTAGATTTGTTTTGTAATCATATTTCTACTGAAGTGTTATTTGACCATTACAGGCAATTTTATTTGACCGCCATGGAGATTTTTATGCAGCCTGAAAAATCTAAATTAAATCTAAAGTAATGTCTAGGTCGTGTGGCTGCAAAATTGATTTTTTTATGATTTCCTTTATATTAGCATAATGTTAGGTTTAAAAATGGATAAGATAAAAATGTGTATTTTGTAATTAACAGGTATCCAAGAGTGACCACAGTAGTGTCCGAGACCTGGTGTGGGATCTTATATTCTCAAAGAACATTACAAATGAAATTGAGAAATGCAGGTAGGCAATTCACAACAGTTTCCGTTTTTCATGAAAAGACATTTGAGCTGTGCCATGACAAAACCAACATAATGGGTTTGCGACCAGCATGGATCCAGACCAGCCTGCGCATCCGCGCAGTCTGATCAGGATCCATGCTGTTTGCTTACTATCCCTATTACAAGTAGAGAAACTGATAACGAACAGCATGGATCCTGATCAGACTGCGCGGATGCGCAGGCTGGTCTGGATCCATGCTGGTCGCAAACGCACTATGTTGGTTTTGTCGTGACACGGCTCATTTGTTCTCTTGCAAGGGAGTTACATGTTTTGAAAGTAGAATGGTCATCTGTCTACTCATGGAACTCATTGATTAGTCGATTATATATCTGTTTACAGAATAAACCAATCAGACAATGTTAAATTCTGACTTGTTTTATGACCAGAATATTTATTTTATGTACCAAAATTAATCATTTATCTGAGCTTTCAGTTACAAAAATTGTCCAAAAATTAGTGAAAAAAAAGGAACAGTTTATCAATTTTATATTGAACTACAAACAATACTCTTTATATAATTGTATATGGCCTATTTTTAAAAACGGGGTAAACACCCAAAAATCTTGTCACATTCCATGACCTGACCATAACCTCAATATTTCAAGTGCTTTGTCAATATTTTAAGAGTATAAAAAAGTGTTTATATTAGATTTGTGCCTTTTAAATATTTTTTGATAGCATTTGAAAGTTGAGAGCAAATATTTTGTCAAAAGTATTAGAGGTTTTATGATTGTTTTATGTTGATGTAGCAGATTAAAGTTTGAATGTTAAGATGGTTAAGGAGAAAGTTATAGTTCCTGCTAGGTCTATTAAATAACAACCAACAAAGGTCTGTTGAATAACAACCTATAAATGTATAGCCAAATAATGCAGTAAACTATTGAACATAGTAAAAAGGAAGAAAAATGAAAAGTGAAATTTCTTTGATGGAGCCTTTTGCTTGTGAAATGGTAATTGTCTTTTTTTTTTTTTCTGACTCTGAATTTGAAAAAGTCATTCTATGGAGACTACTTAGAATTGGGCTATTCTATTTTCTCAGGGTCAATGTTTGGTGACTTTTTTTGCATGCAGCTTAATACCTCATTAATCAAAGAAGGTACATTGTGTCACAGGTCTTTAGATCATGATTTTGGTCTCTGTTCAAAATGCATAAATCTGTAAAATTTCAAGTTTTAAACAACAGAATCAATTACTTTATGTAGTAATTAACAGTCACAATTAGGAGAACTGCACTGAAACTATTTATATCTTGTTGTTTTTTGCAGCTACCTATTTTGAGTTTTTGTAATTAAAAAAAAACAACAACAAAAAACCCAGATCTAATGGTGAACATGTTACAGTAAAGAACTTGGATCAGACTGAAACAGATTTATGTTATTACTGTTGGGAAGGGCTTAATCTAATGTTGCTAGAACTTGTTGCCCAGTCCATTTACTTTTTATGCCCCCGCCATGTAATGGCCGGGGCATATAGTGTTACCCTGTTCCGTCATTCCTTCCTTCCATCCTTCCGTCATTCTGTCATTCCGTCATCATCAGTTTCCGTTCATTATCTTAAGAACGGTTGCACACATTCAACTCAAATTTGACATATGGATATGTCATGAGAAAATACAGGTCAAGTTCGAATTTGGTCATGGTTCGATGATTTTTGGCAGAGTTATGCCCCTTTTACTTTGAAAATAATATGAAATTTCAGTTTCCGTTCATTATCTCCCCAACAGTACAACACATTCAATTCAAACTTGACATATGGATATGTCATGAGAAAATACAGGTCAAGTTCGAATTTGGTCATGGTTCGATGATTTTTGGCAGAGTTATGCCCCTTTTACTTTGAAAATAATATGAAATTTTCAGTTTCCGTTCATTATCTCCCCAACGGTACAACACATTCAACTCAAACTTGACATATGTATGCGTCAAAGGAATGCGCAGGTCAAATTCAAATTTGGTCATGGTTCAATGATTTTTGGCAGAGTTATGCCCCTTTCACTTTGAAAGTAATTTGAAATTTTCAGTTTCTGTTTATTATCTCCCCAATGGTACAACACATTCAACTCAAACTTGACATATGTATGCGTCAAAGGAATGCGCAGGTCAAGTTCAAATTTGGTCATGGTTCGATGATTTTTGGCAGAGTTATGCCCCTTTTACTTTGAAAATAATATGAAATTTTCAGTTTCCGTTCATTATCTCCCCAACGGTACAACACATTCAACTCAAACTTGACATATGTATGCGTCAAAGGAATGCCCAGGCCAAGTTCGAATTTGGTCATGGTTCAATGATTTTTGGCAGAGTAATGCCCCTTTCACTTTGAAAATAATATGAAATTTACAGTTTCTGTTCATTATCTACCCAACAGTGTTACATATTCAACTTAAATTTGACATATGGATATGTCAAAGGAATGGGCAGGTCAAGTTGGAAATTGGTCATGGTTTGATGATTTTTTGGCAGAGTTATGTCCCTTTCACTTTGAAAATAATATAGATACGTCTTAGGAATAAGCAGTTTAAGTTTGAATTTGGTCGTGGTTCAATGCTTTTAGACAAACTTATCTTTCCTGAATGTTGGAAAAATTTTGAACTTTCAGTTTCAGCACTCATACTTTTAGCCATTATTTTGGCTACAAATATGCAATATTCTTTTTTTAAAAGGTTAAGACTGAATAATTTCAGTGCCTTGAACATGGTATGAAAATGGTTTGTGTTAACATTGAAAAGTTTTAAGGGCTTTGAACATAAAATGAAAAAAATAATTAATGCACCATCTGAAATTTTGGCTGCATGCGGGGGCATCCGTGGCATGATGACACATTTCTAGTTGTTATAATATTTGTCATTTGTATAATAAATATTTTACGTGTAAGTACTGCAATAAATAGGTTCAAACTAAGTGAATATTGATACCTGTTTTCAGAGTAATATTCCGTTGGTTAGCCACCAAAAACCTGAAGGAGATGTCATTTGACAATGTACAACCAGGCAGTCCAGAGGAGGTGCTTATGGGTTTGAAAACTGGCAGAACTACATATGCTATGGTGTTTGACATGATGTGCAAGTTAGTACAGTACCTCGTTCTTTTAGCTGATTTTGTACAATGACTTGCCCAACAGTCAACTATTACATTAAAATGAGCCACGCTATGACAAAACCAACATATTATGTTTGCGACCAGCATGGATCCAGATCAGCCAACGCATCCGCGCAGACTGATCAGGATCCATGCTGTTCGCTTACAAACCCTATAACAAGTAGAGAAACTGATACCGAACAGCATGGATCCTGATCAGACTGCGCGGATGCGCAGGCTGGTCTGGATCCATGCTGGTCGCAAATCCATTATATTGGTTTTGTCATGGCGCGGCTCAAATATTAAAGTATGAAAATTCCACAATTAAAAGTGCTGACTGGTCTGGCAATAGACTGGTTTTCATCATCTGTTATGAAATTTTAGATTAGCTGTTGAAATAAAACAAATTTTGAGTCTTTAATAACTTTTCTTTATATGTCTTGTATATTTTTGCTTGACCTTTGTGTAATGTCATAACCATATTAACTATACAAATGTTTTCAATACTTGTCTTTTATTGATATAGTTATATTGTTGTTTGAATACTCTACTTTACATGTGTTGTAGTTTTGCAAAAAAATTTGTAATGTTATAAAAATAATGGATGTCTCTCAGGGTAATAGTGCATATAAGCAACCCAACCTGAGAACTGAAATAACACCCAAGGCTCTATAGTAAAAAGTTTACTTGAGGTATAAAAATATTGATTTCTTACAGTAATGCTGGTCTACACTCTAAGATCATTAGTGGATATGCTAAGGGAGCCGACTACAGACCAGGCCAGAAGTTTCAACCAGGCTCAAATCAGCACTCATGGAATGCTGTGTACATCTACGGTACCTGGTGTCTGATAGATGCTCACTGGGCGGCACGAAGAATCATTGGGAAACAGGCAACCACAGAAGAGTTTCACTACCAGCTTGATGAATATTTCTTCCTGACTGAACCAGCACAACTTATCTTCACGCATTTCCCTGATGATCCTAAATGGCAGCTTCTAGAGAGACAGGTAATTATTATTGTGTTAGCGACTTGTGTATGTGCTTACATATTAAATGCTGTAATAATTACTCTTTTTATGTGATGTATTTACATAAGGTTATACACTTGCATTAGTCTGGCACTTTTTCAGCTAGTTTACTGAGGTTTGTCCTTGTTAATGTCAGGTCTTCCTTCGCCAGTAATGTTGGGATTTTACCATATGACTTCAGCAGTCTAGTTTTGACTAAATAAACAAGTCTAACCATGAGGTGACAATACATAGCACTTAATTCATTTGTCAAATATTTTTTTGCTTTGACAATTTTCATTATTTTATACCTTCATAGACAAATATAGACAAGTGATGATGTTCCTATAACCTGGCAATGTTACGTATGATAAAGAATGTCAATGAATTGAAAGAAAGAATCTTTGTTTAGACTTGAATAATAACTATTTTCATGTTTCCTAGGTAACGCTAGAGGAGTTTGAGAACATGCCTCATATGAAACCACAGTTCTTCAAATATGGTCTAGAGTTTGTCAGTCATAGAACAGCAGTTGTGTACGGGCGTGGTGAGATCAACATACGTCTACGTTATCCTGCACACAGACTGGTCGTAGCATTTAACTTTACCATACAGGTGAGCAACATCAAATGAGCCGCGCCATGACAAAACCCAACATAATGCGTTTGCCACCAGCTTGGATCCAGACCAGCCTGCGCATCCGCGCAGTCTGGTCAGGATCCATGCTGTTTGCTTACCAACCCTATTACAAGTAGAGAAACTGATAGTGAACAGCATGGATCCTGATCAGACTGTGCTGGTCGCAAACGCACTTAGTTGGTTTTGTCATGACGCGGATCAAATTACTCTCGAGTTTTAACCTGTAACCTATAACTTAACAATAAAGCTCAATTGGTATTGGTGTCACATTTATTAAAGTCTTTATCTGCAATATGAAGATGAGCAAGATTTGATAGGCTGGAAGTAGGTATGAAAGTGAAAATAACTGGCTGTTTTTTGTTTTGTTTTTTTCCTGTCACCTTAAACTTTGCCTTCTAGTAAAATAGATTTATATCAACCTGGTTATAGTATGTGTGAATTCTTAAAGTTTTATCAAATTGGAGGTGGTGACACTTTCATTTGTGATAATTTCAATGATATGAAGCGTGTAAAACTGGAAAGCCAGTATGTGATATATACATTAAAATTTCAAAAAAGAAACCATTTAAGACTCATATGCAAAAAAATGAATGTTTTCATTGAATATACATACATTGTAGGTAAAATGGTTCTGATAAATTAAACATGAAATATCAATGTCGTTCTATTAAAGATATTTATGGTAGCCTATACCAGAGTAAAACTTCTTTTATAATATGATATTTTTAACAATTTACATCTGGGTAAGAATAATTTAAATTAGCATTATAATGATAGTCACTGTGGTCAATTAATTATTCATTCTAACTTTAAATTTCTTCTTTCTCACCAGAAACTTTGAATTCTTTCATTTGAGAGCCCTGTAAAATACATTGAACTTTATTTTCGATAAATGAAGCTTTCAACTTGGCTTAATACTTCCACTATCGATAAATGAAGCTTTCAACTTGGCTTAATACTTCCACTAGAATAGCTGAACAGTTGTTATATGACTTGAAGAATGTATTTGTGCAACATGAAACCCAATCATAATTATATGTGACTGGTTTTGTTTTCATTATAACAGATGGAAAATGGAGATGAGGAATACCGTGGTACAAAGTTGAACAGATACGGTATGCAGGAAAGTGTAGCAGGTGTGGCTTCATTCAGACTCCGCCTTCCACAAAAAGGCGCATACATCTTGTATATCTATGCTAAAGAAGACACACCAGAAAACAAGGACAATGTTTATGCCCAGGTAAATATGATGTTTTTGAAAACAAAATATTTTTATATGAGAATAGCAAAGAGACAGATAATTTGTGAAAGTTAACAAAAATAGCTATACACATAGACAAATGATGTACATGTATTATGAAATTCTTAGGATTTTAAATTATCAGAAGGGGTTTTTTTTGTGTTGCCTGCTACAGAGTAGTGTCAACATATGGGGATCACTTCTCTGTCCATCTGTACGTCTATAACAAAATTTGTCCAGACTACTCCTGAAAAACTTCTTTTGCAGTTTCATCCAAACTTTATAGGAATAATGCCTGTACCAAGTCTTGTGCATATTGTCATTATTTTACAGTTTAATGATTTTTGTCAGAGTTATGGCCCTTTAATGATTTTGATTTTTAAAGTTTTTCCTGACTTCATCTCTTATACCACTGATTAAATTTGAATGAAACTTTACAGCATTGATTGGTACCTCAAGTACTTGTGCATATTGCATGGGTTTTCCAGTTAAATGAATTTTTGCAATGTTTGCCCTTGAATAAAAAAAAAGCGGTTGAGCCAGTAAGTAATTTATGCATCTCTTGCTACACAGTACCTGATTGCAACAAGCTACAAAGTAGCAGTATCATACAGGGAACAAACTGGTCAATAACCCCCTTAATACAACTGTATAATTGGCTTTTAACAGGTGAAACGTGTGATCACTGATCACTCTTGTGTGTGAAATAATATCTATGTCACTATAATGTAGAAGAAAATTTATCATTCATCGTCAGAGTAATATCCCATTGATTAACAGATAAAGTACTAATTAAGAACTGGTTTGGAAGAAATCAGTAATGATAATATATAAATGGACAGGAGTCATGTCAATAGGCAATGATAGCTGGAAGTATGATTTTTTACAGACAAAATATTACATGTAGTCTACATGCCATTAATAGTGTTTTCAAGTTTTTTCTATAAATACAGGATTTATTTTCATCGAGTGGAAAAAATAAATATTTCGTGAGTGGCAGTAGCTGCAGGTGAAATATAGTTTTTATACCACAAGATGAAAATATATCCTGTATTTATAGAAAAAAACTTGAATTTTCTGTTTATAATATACATTTTTGTCTCTTTTTTTGACATCACAATTTACAAGACGTCCCCTTGAATTTTGTGTACTGGCTGAATTTAGAAAAAATATGTCTTGCCACACAATATGAAAATACTGAAAATATATTTCACTGCGGTTAAAAATACATTTTTACATTGAAAATATAAAAAAAAAAGAGAATATGCATTTTATTTCATTAATATTTTTTCAATATTTTTCAACTATAAGTATATAATAATAAATGAATGTAGCATTTGAGTCCTTATTTGAGCCGTGTCACGACAAAACCAACATAATGGATTTGCGACCAGCATGGATCCAGACCAGCCTGTGCATCCGCACAGTTTGATCAGGATCCATGCTGTTCGCTTACCAACTCTATTACAAGTAAAGAAACTGGTAGCGAACAGCATGGATCCTGATCAGACTGCGCGGATGCGCAGGCTGGTCTGGATTCATGCTGGTCGCAAACCCATTATGTTGGTTTTGTCGTGACACGGCTCATTTATTAAATTTTGACAATCAGAAGAGGCTTATGATTCTTGTAAGTAAACAGAAACTCTTCATGCATGAAAAGAAAGCACAAGATTCAACAAGACAATGTTGTGAAATCCATGCACAGAAATTCCATACAACTGTACTATAGCACACTTGCAAATCTCTGCACTTCTCAATAAAACTGTATTTTTTAGAAGTGCCTCTGTTTTAATAATGTGATTAAGTATAATATGACTTATACAGTTTTACTTCAGTTATTTTTTTCTTGAAGGTTTTTTTACTAACTTATACTTTAGTGAAGTTAAAAAAGAAAATGAACATATTTGTATTTATCAATGATATCAATGTGGACATTTGGTAAGATTGAGACATTTGAATTAACTGAGATATGTGCTGGATAATCTGTTGTTGTGAACTTATTAGATTTTCACCTGTTTGAATAACTGATAATAGAGATAGGAATATTCCAAATAATTGTTTTTGTTTGCAGACATTTTGTGTAAGTTTATTTCCATGTTGATAATATATGATGATTTAATAATTACAGGTGTGTGAGTTTAAGATAGTACAAGAAGAGGTGAATACTGTGGAGCCAGAGCCATTCCCACCATGTGCCTACCTGAACTGGGGACCAGGGGCTGCCTTCTTTAGGTAAAAATATTTACCTTTTTGACACCTTGTGAATTTCAAAATTGTAATGAAAAATGCTACACTTTACCTGAGTGTTTATATTCATTTTATCTTTTAATTTACATATAAGGACATTTTATATCTGACAAAGTGCATTGGGAACAGTGATTTTTGCATAGGGAACATTGTTTAATTTTTGCATAGGGAACATTGTTCAATGTTTGCATAAGAAACTTTGTTTAATTTTGCATAGGGAACATTGTTTAATTTTTGCATAGGGATCATATCTTTGTAAATTGTTTTTGTACTTCCTTACTTGTACCAATAAGTTTCTGTAAATCTAATTCCTGTTTGTAGGTATGGTTTGGCAACTTATCAGCAGACGGCCACAGTTCTTACTAGAGATGGCAAAGCAGAGCTCCAGTTCCGTATCCCGAAGACCATGCAGTTCATGGCTAAATTAAAGAATAATAAATGTAGCGATTCAGAATTAGAGGGATATTGCATGAACAGGATTGTTGGTAATACAGCATACTTCAATATTACAGCTCCGGGCAGAGGAGAGTTCGGTTTAGAGATTTATGCCAATGACCCATCAACGGAGGGTACAATTCTTTTCCATGTAGCTCAGTATATGATAGAATGTCAAGAAGATGTAAAGACTGTTCCATTACCTAAGTTACCGGGCGGATTTTTAGGAGCGCAACCAAAATTTAACGAGTTTGGTCTAAACACCTTAAGTCACCATGATCCAGTTATCCATCTTGAGTGTAACAGTGTAGAAATTCAATTTGCCACAGCACAGGATATGAGAGTAACCGCCAATCTGCTTGATGCCGAAACTGATAAAGATTTCCAAGATTATGTCTTCACTCAAACCCAGGGCTCTGTAGTCACCTTTGTTGTTACCTTGCCAGCTGTAGGATTTTACAAGCTTCAGTTATATTCTATACCTGCAGATGATCCGACCCAGCAGTTACCTGGTGTATATAACTACCTTATCAACTGCAAGAAAGTCACCAAACAACCATGTCCCTTCCCGAAGCAGTATGCTCAATGGAAGCAAGGATGTTACATGGAATGTCCAAAAACCCTGTACACAGGCTGTGGAGATGAAGTTGTTTTCCGTGTCAGTGTTCCAGGTGCCGAGGCTGTGGCAGTTGTTGCTGGAGAAGAGTGGACGCATCTACAGAAACCAGATAATCTCATGTGGGAGGGGCGTGTAAAATTAGCCGGTCTTTATGGAAGAGGCGTTAAAGTCACCTTAAACGCAAATTATGGTGGAGATCCAACTAGCTATGCCACATTACTGGAATATAACATTTAAACTTTCTTTTTGAGAAAAATTTATAGTTATATGGAGACATTTATGACAATTTTTAGCAAATATCTATATATCTTGAGTAGGAAAATGCTTGCTTTATATCTGGTGCTAGTGTCGTTGATGAAAGTTTTCTACCATCTAGAAACAATTAATGAATTAACAGGACAACTAAACGTTACATGTACAGTAAATAATTCACCTTGACAACCAAAATCTAGATGTATAGTACACATACAAAAGCCGTGTTTTACATTATGAATATGTTTTTACATAACATGGAACTAAAACAGTAATTCATAAACATTTTTCAAGAAGTTATTTTTTTTGGAGACCAGTTAAGACGCAATTGAACAAAAACATTTTGATGGCCCATGTGCATAGAATTATCTGATACATATAAGTGAAGTTGAAATTTGTATTCTGCTTCTTTTATATTATAAACTTGTAATAAACTCTCTGTCTTTATTTCTAATCAGCACAAATGTACATCAGTTGGTGATGGTAGCAAGCAATTAAATGTGCACCTAGTTGAGTGATGATTGAAATTTAATGTGATATATTTAGTGCCCACAGCTTTTTTACTGCATGTAAATTACTGAAGAACACCCCTGTTACTGTTATTTACTATTATGTTTGTTGGTAAGAAATTGTTGATCTTTCATTAATGATATGATGTTATGTGCTCTGATACATTTTTGGGGGGAGGGGAAAGAGGGTGTGGAATTTTGTTACATTGTAAGAATTGTGTTGCATTCAAGCTGACTGCTTTCGCAATTTGATATGTTTGTTGAATTAAAAAGTAGTGATCCAGCTTGGTAACTTTGAACAAGAATCTTCATGACTGTGTGCATATTTGAACAAAATTGTTTGGATTGATAAATTTAAACAAAAACCATTTGCCTTAAATATGAACAAAAATCTTCTCTTTTTTTTGGTCCCTTAAATTATAGGTGAAACTACCCGACTTAATGAATTCCCGTGAAATCATTTTTCAACAGTTCAAAGACCATAATAATAACAGTTTTGTTATGTACAAATAGTTGATTTTTTTCACATCAAAGACACTGCTGTTTGTGTAATAGTTATTAGTAACTTTAAACAGGAATGTTATAACCAAAAAAATTAAAGACAGGGTATTCATATTACTTAATTAAACATGTTCTACGCAACCATATTTTCTCCAACCTTCCTAGTTCTTAGTAGAAAAATCACGGAATTAAAGTCTGTCACAAAATGAACATGCACCGTGTGACAGGGGAATTAATTTGTTGTAAGTTGCAAAATCTGGATTATATGAGTGCTTGATAAAATAATCTTAATTGATAAAAGCTGGGTCATACTTTTTCTTGCTAATTTTATTTCTGAATGTTGTAAGAAAAAGACTTACCTTCACATTCTCTTTTATTTTTGTTAATTCATCAATTAATCTAAGTGCCATTGTTTTTTGATCAGCATTTTTAACGGGGCTGTTCAAGCTTGTTTGTTTATTTTGGTGGGGTAGGGGATAAAAACACTTACATTCACATGAACTGTCTAATAGTTTCTATGGATACGGTGTTTATTTTGTTTTTTTGATAATGAATATATGATTGCTTGTGTAATGTGTTATATGCTAGCTTCCCTACCTTCATACATACATATGTGTAAACTATTTGTGTAAACCAGCTGTTGTATATGTAATCTGCTCTGGTAGCATAGTTTTTATATGTTTATATTATTTTGCCTTTCTGTTTATTAGTAGTATACTTATTTTTTTGAGAAAGGTATATTTCTTACTTTTCTGTTAATCTATCATGTATATAATTTAAGAAGTGACTTCTTAGAAGCCAACTTGTAAAAAAAAAAGGGTTTTATACTTATGTACAAGTTGTTTTTGTTTTGATTTTTGCCCAGCTGTGCAATTTAGACTAAAATTTGTAAATTTTTTCAGATATTACAACTTTCATAGATATATGGCTATATTGTGCTGAATTTTGAACAAAACTTGAACAAAAGTTAGTATTCTTAAAGAAGTTTTATATCTTGTTATTTTTTAAAATGAGAAAAAAATCTTGCAGTTAGCCTTTATTTTCAAAATTGATTTTTTTATTTACATATTTTCTATGCTCAATTTCAGTTGATTTTTTTGTATTCTTTGCATCCAAATGTTTTGCTCATTTTTAGTGTTTACATCTATTTTTTTTTCAGCAACAAGATCTAATAACTGTACCACTGTTATTGTTATCATATATATCTTCCTTTATTGATATATATTGCACAAATTAGTTCCTTCTTTAGCTACTGCAATAATCACATGAACTTGAATCTACTGTAATGAAATTTGAAGAAAAAAAACTTGGTTATATAATTCAGAAAATCCCATTAATTAAATGTGTTATACTAGTAGCGTTTTTCATTACATTTCTTGATCAGTCAGTTTTACATAAATTTAAGGGTTGAAATTTTAGTTTTTTTTGTTTTTTCATTTTCTATATATTTCAATATTTTATAACACTCTTTGTTACTGCGTTTTTTTAGAAATGATATTTTTATTTTTTACAAAGACATAATATCCATTAAGTTGTAGACATTTATATTTTCAAGTGCTATATATGAATGCTTTTATTAGCAATAAATGATTGCTTATCGTTATATAGTGTTGTATTATCTATTGATGTCCTATTCCATGTGGCAGAAGGGTTGCCTTTACAGGTTGTGACACCAAAGTTGCAGCCACCTTTTAACCTTTGCAGGATTGTTAGAGGCGACTGGAGTCTATGCTTGTCTTAGCTTCAGCAGGTGAGGTGGTTTTGATCCCTGGTGTTGCTTCAAGTTTGTAGCACCCAAAATTAGCCAAATCATCTTTCCTGTTTCATAAATTGTGTTTGTGCATTGGCCGTAAAACCAAACAAATCATCTGGTATGTATACTATGTCTCCTTCATCAAAGACAGTTATCTACGAGTATGCATAAAATTTATTATTGCATTCTTTATGAGAAATTTCTCAATTAAAATGTCATTACTTGAAAAAAGAATTAAAAGGTTGCACCACACTTGAATTACTTCAATTGCGCAACTTTGCATCTTTTTCCCATGTTTTGATGAAAATAGTTTAAAGTTGTGCTGGTTTTTTTTTTTTTACGAACTTGTCTCTACAAATGCAGAGTTGTTGACCAATGACTTCCAGCAAAGAGATACATGTATGTGATCCTACATACTAAGTTCAGTGATATGTCCTACCTAAATTCTTCTATGCATGCAGAAAATACCAGAGTAAAAGACTTTAATCAAGACAACCACTAAATGACATCCACTATTTTGAGAATCAGATGGATGTCACATCAAAATGTATTTCATTTTAATATAATATGTGTCAACATGTAAATATGAAACTTCCCCTTTTTAGCTCACCTGAGCACGAAGTGCTCAAAGGTGAGCTTTTGTCATCACTCTGCGTCCGTCGTGCGTCGTGCGTCCTTCAAAAAATGGCGTCAAACTTTTCAAACAACATCTCCTCCTAAACTACATGGCCAATTGCAACCAAACTTTACAGAAATGATCCTTAGGTGGACCCCTTTCAAAGTTGTTCAAAAATTTAAATTCCATTAAAAACTCTGGTTGCCATGGCAACCAATAAGAAAAACTTAAAAAATCTTCTTCTAAAAAACCGTAAGAGCTAGAGCTTAGATATTTGGCATGAAACATCTTCTAATGAGTGCCTACCAAGTTTGTTCAAATCAAAGCCCTAGGGTCAAAATTGGCCCAGCCCCAGGGGGTCATTGATTTTTCCCTATATGCATATAGTAAAAACTTAAAAAATCTTCTTTTAAAGAACTCAAAGAGCTAGAGCTAAGATATTTAGCATGAAACATGTTCTCATGGGTGTCTACCAAGTTTGTTCAAATAAAAGCCCTGGGGTCAAAATTGGCCCCGCCCCGGGGGTCATTGATTTTCCTTATATGTGTATAGCAAAAACTTAAAAAAATCTTCTTTAAAAAAACCCAAATAGCTGGAGTTTAGCTATTAAGCATGAAACATCTTCTAGTGAGTGTCTACAAAGTTTGTTCAAATCAAAGCCCTAGGGTCAAAATTGGCCCCGCCCCGGGGGTCATTGATTTTCCTTATATGACTGTGTATAGCAAAAACTTAAAAATCTTCTTTGAAAAAACCCAGATAGCTAGAGTTTAGATATAAAGCATGAAACATCTTCTAGTGGAGTATCTACCAAGTTTGTTCAAATAAAAGCCCTAGGGTCAAAATTGGCCCCGCCCCAGGGTGTCCTTTGATTTTCCCTATATGCATATAGTAAAAACTTAAAAAATCTTCTTTTAAAGAACCCAAAGAGCTAGAGCTAAGATATTTAGCATGAAACATCTTCTAATGAGTGTCTACAAAGTTTGTTCAAATAAAAGCCCTAGGGTCAAAATTGGCCCCGCCCCCGGGGGTCATTGATTTTCCCTATGTGCATATAGTAAAAACTTAAAAATCTTCTTTTAAAGAACTCAAGGAGCTAGAGCTAAGATATTTAGCATGAAACATGTTCTCATGGTGTCTACCAAGTTAATTCAAATAAAAGCCCTGGGGTCAAAATTGGCCCCTCCCCGGGGGTCATTCATTAGCTTGACATTTTTTTTTATATATATACATATTATGTATTTATATATATATATATATACATGTATATATATAAATGTATATATATATATATATGTATATATATATATGTATATATATATATATATATATATAATATGTATATATATAAAAAAAAAATGTCAATATATATATATATATATATATATATGTATATATATATATATATATACATATATATTAATATATATATATATATATATATATATATATATATATATACATGTATATATATATAAATGTATATATATATATATATATGTATATATATATATATATATAAATGTATATGTTATATATATATATATATATATATATTTATATATATATATATATATATATATATATATATATATATATATTGTATATATAGATATACATGCATACATATACAACCAAGTTTGTTCAAATAAAAGCCCTGGGGTTTAAACTGGCCCCGCTCCAGGGGCCTATATACAGGTGAGCGACTTTGGGCCATCATGGCCCTCTTGTTTAGCTCACCTGTCACGGTGAGCTTTTATGATCGCTTTTCGTCCGGCGTCCATCCGTCCGTCCGTAAACTTTTACTTTAAATGACATCTCCTCATAAACCACTAAGCCAATTTCATCCAAACTTCACATGAATGTTCCTTTGGTGGTCACCTTTGAAAAGTGTTCAAAGAATTTAATTCCATGCAGAACTCTGGTTGCCATGGCAACCAAAAGAAAAAACTTTAAATATCTTCTTCTAAAAAATCCAAAGAGCTAGAGCTTAGATATTTGGCATGAAACATCTTCTAGTGAGTGTCTACCAAGTTTGTTCAAATAAAAGCCCTGGGGTCAAAATTGGCCCCGTCCAAGGAGGTCATTGATTTTCCCTATATGCATATAGTAAAACCTTAAAAAATCTTCTTTAAAAGAACCCAAAGAGCTAGAGCTAAGATATTTAGCATGAAACATGTTCTAATGGATGTCTACCAAGTTTGTTCAAATAACCGCCCCGGGGGTCATTGATTTTCCTTAAATGTGTATAGCAAAAACTTAAAAATCTTCTTGTAAAGAACCCAAAGACCTAGAGCTAAGATATTTAGCATGAAACATCTTCTAATGGGTGTCTACTAAGTTTGTTCAAATAAAAGCCCTGGGGTCAAAATTGGCCCCGCCCCAGGGGGTCATTGATTTTCCCTATATGCATATAGTAAAAACTTAAAAAATCTTCTTGTAAAGATCCCAAAGACCTAGAGCTAAGATATTTAGCATGAAACATCCTCTAATGGGTGTCTACCAAGTTTGTTCAAATAAGAGCCCTGGGGTCAAAATTGGCCCTGCCCCGGGGTCATTGATTTTTCTTATATGTGTATAACAAAAACTTAAAAAATCTTTTTTGAAAAAAACAAATAGCTAGAGTTTAGATACTAAGCTTGAAACATCTTCTAGTGAGTGTCTACCAAGTTTGTTGTAATAAAAGCCCTGGGGTCAAAATTGTCCCCGCTCCGGGGGTCATTCATTTTCCTTATATGTGTATAACAAAAACTTAAAAAATCTTCTTTGAAAAAACTCAAATAGCTAGAGTTTAGATATTAAGCACGAAGCATCTTCTTGTGAGTGTCTACAAAGTCTAAAAACCCTGGGGTCAAAATTGGCCCCGCCCCGGTGACATTGATTTTCCTTATATGTGTATAACAAAAACTTAAAAATCTTCTTTGAAAAAACCCGAATAGCTAGAGTTTAGATATTAAGCATGAAACATTTTCTAGTAAGTGTCTACAAAGATTGTTCAAATAAAAGCCCTTTGGTCAAAACTGGCCCTGCCCCAGGTGTGTCATTGTTTTTAACTATATGTGTAAAGAAAAAACTTGACCAGCTAGACCTTAGATGTTTAGCATGAAACATCTTCTAATGGGTGTCTACCAAGTTTGTTCAAATAAAGGCCCTGGGGTTTAAACTGGCCCCGCTCCGGGGGCCTATATACAGGTGAGCGACTTCAGGGCCATCATGGCCCTCTTGTTTAACTTTATAGCTACTAAAGACTTTATAATAATACATATCTAGCAACAAGGTAAGGGAAAAAATGACAGTAAATTTTGTAGGACAGACAAAACTTGAGTGGAACATTATCCGTCTTATAATAAATGAAAATAATGACTATAATGTCTAATGTAAAACTAGTTGATCAAAGTGTATAACAACAACAACTTTCTGTCTGTCTTTATTACGATTAACAAGCAATATTATAATAAACATTATGTACACATGTTGTTTAGAAAAAAAAATAATACTGGAAACTTGAACAAGTTATAAAAATATTTTTTTCTACAGCTAAAATAAAACCAATTAACATGCACAATAATAATATACATACATGTACAAAGTAATTTATACCAATAACAGGCAGTCAAAAGTAAAGAAATCAAGTCAGTCTGCAGATAAATAGGTCTACCTAAATCAATACTGGTGACATGGGTTGCTTTATAAATGTCATTTGCAGTAAAACATATAACAAGCAAAGCATACAACAGTAAATTTAAGTACAAGAGCGATCAGTTATCACGTGTCGCCTCATGATGGCCAATTTCATGTTGGGACAAATTTTGTGATAGACGGACAGACAGAGTGCACAACTAGACTTGGTACTGATCATTCCTGTAAAGTTTGGATAAAATTGCACCAGTAGTTTATGAGGAGTAGTCCGGACAAGCTTTTGCGTATCTGGCAACACACAGAAAAAAAAACCTTTTTATCAAAGGGCCATAACTCAGCCAAGAATCATTCAACCGGAAAACCCGTGCAATATGCGCAAGGACTTGAGCTACAGATCAATCCTGTAAAGTTTCATTGAAATTGCATTAGTGGTATAAGAGAAGTAGTCCGGACAAACTTTAAAAATAAAAATTATTAAAGGGCCATAACTCAAACAAAAATCATTGAACCGGAAAATGCTGACAATATGCACAACTAGACTTTGTATTGATCATTCCTGTAAATTTTGGATGAAATTGCACCTGTAGTTTATGAGGAGTAGTCCGGACAAGCTTTTGTGTATCTGGCAACACACAGAAAAAGAAACCTTTTTATCAAAGGGCCATAACTCGGCCAAAAATCATTCAACCGGAAAACCCTTGCAATATGCGCAAGGACTTGAGCTACAGATCAATCCTGTAAAGTTTCATTGAAATTGCATTAGTGGTATAAGAGAAGTAGTCCGGACAAACTTTAAAATTAAAAATTATTAAAGGGCCATTACTCTGACAAAAATCATTGAACCGGAAAATGCTGACAATATGCACAACTAGACTTGGTACTGATCATTCCTGTAAAGTTTGGATGAAATTGCATCAGTAGTTTATGAGAAGTAGTCCGGACAAGTTTTGTGACGGACGGACGGACAGACAGACGGACAGACAGACGACGGAGAAGTGATCCCTATATGTCGCCACTACTCCGTAGAGGCGACACAAAAATACTATTAACAAAATACCGTAAAATTCCTAATAAACGCCCCCAGGGGCTTAACATTTTCCAAAAGGGGGGCTTTTATTACAGCACATTTTTTCCTAAAAAAAAATCGCTGTAAATACATTTAGTGTTAGCAAGTGTTGGTAATAACACTAAAAAGTGTTAAGGTTTTAAAGTTCATATTATACATATTTGTGTTTACTATTAAATACTATGGATTCTGAATGATTTGAATAAAATTATGGCTTTAATTATGAGTTCAGCACTGATGGGTAGATTGTTTTCCTTATCAAAAGGCATGGGGGGGGGCCTTTATTAGGGGAGGGGCGTTTATTAGGAATTTTACGGTAACTTTATTCTATAAGTATTTTTGACAGATTTTTAATAATTTTATGAATATAACGAATGTAAGGCACAAAAGTGTTATAGGATGGGTTATATTATTATATATGTACAAGACAGCAACATGCATTACTATGCATGATTGGACCATAGCATTATTTTCCTCCAAAATTCTTTCCCCTTAATGACCCTCAAAACCGCCATCTTTCACTACTTTTTCGGTCATATATACTCCAACTGACTTATTTTTTTCCCCACTAATCAAATCCATCTCACAAAAAGCTGCTTGTTCCAAATTTAAACTTTATATTCAAACTTATTCAATTAATAAGCCTGAAGATCTTTATTCGACTCAGATTCTTGGAACATGATTCTTCTTATTAACGTTGTCAATCAACCATGACCATTCTGTGCTCCATTTTCTTGGCTTTCTCTAGGTGGAATTGCAGCTTCCTCAATTTTGAAAATTTTCACAAGTTCCTAAAACATAAATACTATTATTACAAAAATATCTATAGAAAAATCAAATTAAAATATAAATATTGACAAGAGAGTCATAGTGGCCCACAAATTGCTCACCTGAGGTAATAGTTTATATTGAAAAGAAAAAAATCATTATTAGCTCATTCCTATATTAAATTCCATTAAAATGTGCCAAGCAGGTGAGATGTCATTAAATATTTAAGCTTATTCCAATCTTTGGCTCAAATGTGCCATGTTGGTCTCAATGTTGGATTACTTTTTGCATTTTTTGTAAAAGACCACCAAACAATCATTCCTGCAGAGTTTCATCAAAATCTACCAACAACAGAAGAGGAGATGTTCAAGATTTAGTTTAACCCATTACTTCATATACACGCCTTTTAACGCCTTTTTCACCCCCCCCCTTTTTGTTGTCTCAAATGATGAAAAAATGCCTTATTTAGGCCCCAAACACTTGTTTTTGTTTGAGAAATGTTGTTAAAAAAAGTGACCTCTTTTTCGGCGCGGCCCCCAACCAAAAGATACATCAGGGGGTTGCCAGAAGGGGGATGTGCCCCCTTCTGTTTGGGGGGGTTTGAAGGGGGGCGGAGTCCCCCTCATCGCCAAGAAAATTTTGGACTTGTGAGAGGCTGTAAATGACCCCAGATTGATCATAAGGTAACGTGTAACCAACGCTGAAAAGCATTCGACTCTATCTCAATCCATTGAGAAGTTGCAGCACTTTGAAATCAATTTTTGATGGAAAAAATCAACGCAAAAATAGTGATTTTTGGCAATTTTGAGAATGTCCCCTCCTTGCCATGGTAACAGAAAATTTAAGCCTGAGCATGTTGTTGCAAGGGCAATGGTCCAGTCAACATTTGTGCCAAGTTGATTAGTGTTGAAGCAGTTTTGATAGTATTATAGCAATTTGAACTTGTAACGGGAGACTTTTTCAATGAAAACAGCCATTTTTTCACAAAATGCTCATGAAGCAATGGGTTAACATAATATTAACATGTTATTTATGAAGTAAATATTGTTCAAGAATTATGAAAAAGTATAAAAAGTATTCAAGAGCATGTAACAAAATAGATCTATTATGTGAAGGAACTTGCTCTGTGTTTTAATTCCTCTATATCTGATTGTGAATCAGATAATATTTTCCATTTTAACAATTTTATTGCTAGAATATTTAGGAAATAGATCTTTCTACATGTATTGTTTAAGCATACTGTGGTAAAATACTGACGTATGGGATGATATCAAGGTGTGCTTTTGTTTTAGTTGGGTTTTACATCGCACCAACACGGTATAGGTAATATGGTAACTTTTGCAGCATTACTGGTGGAGGAAAAGCAGTAACCAGAAAAACCGTGACTAGCTGGATAGCTTCTTCACATGAAAGAATCCAAAGCCCCTGTCAGGAGTCAAACCCAAAGCGGTGAGGGCCAAATGGCTTGAACGATCTTAACCATTCGGCCACGGACGTCCCATTTTTATTTTATTCAGATATGCATAATTAACAAGACCTATCATTATTCTCACAATCATGAAGAATTGAAAAGCAAACAACAACTATGGCTATACCAATCTGCTGAAAAAAATCTTAAATCGATTTCAACAATTACAAAAATATTTTATTTTAAAAGAACCATATTCTCAAACACTAATGTTGATACATGTAGTGTAAATTAGACAAGACAATGGATATTCTTTTATCTGAGATTCTGAGATGAATCATGTGTATTGTAACAAAAACATTTTATAGAACAGGAGGTGTGTGGTGGTGAAATTATGTACGCTACCCCCCATATTTTTTAGAACAGTGAATATGTGGTGGTGAAATAATGTACGCTTCCCCCTCATATTTTATAACAGGGAGTGTGTGGTGGTGAAATTATGTACGCTACCCCTCATTTTTTTTAAGAACAGTGAATATGTGGTGGTGAAATAATGTACGCTTCCCCCTCATTTTTTATAACAGGGAGTGTGTGGTGGTGAAATTATTACGCTACCCCCTAATATTTTATAGAACAGGGAGTGTATGGTAGTGAACTAATGTACGCTACCCCCATTTTATAGAACAGGGAGTGTGTGGTGGTGAAATAATGTACGCTACCCCCTCATATTTTATTGAACAGCGAGCGTGTGATGGTGAAATAATGTATGCAACCCCTCATATTTTATAGAACAGCGAGTGTGTGGTGGTGAAATAATGTACGCTACCCCCTCATATTTTATAGAACAGCAAGTGTGTGAAGGTGAAATAATGTACGCTACCCCTCATATTTTATAGAACAGCAAGTGTGTGATAGTGAAATAATGTACACTACCCCCTCATATTTTATAGAACAGTGAGTGTGTGGTGGTGAAATAATGTATGCTACCCCCTCATATTTTATTGAACAGCGAGTGTGTGGTGGTGAAATAATGTATGCAACCCCTCATATTTTATAGAACAGAGAGTGTGTGGTGGTGAAATAATGTACGCTACCCCCATTTTATAGAACAGTGAGTGTGTGGTGTTGAAATAATGTATGCAACCCCTCATATTTTATAGAACAGCAAGTGTGTGGTGGTGAAATAATGTATGCAACCCCTCATATTTCATAGAACAACGAGTGTGTGGTGGTGAAATAATGTATGCTACCCCTCATATTTTATAGAACAGCGAATGTGTGGTGGTGAAATAATGTACACTACCCCCTCATATTTTATAGAACAGCGAGTGTGTGGTGGTGAAAAAATGTACACTATCCCCTCATATTTTATAGAACAGGGAGTGTGTGGTGTTGAAATAATGTACGCTACCCCCTCATATTTTATAGAACAGCGAGTGTGTGGTGTTGAAATAATGTACGCTACCCCCTCATATTTTATAGAACAAGCGAGTGTGTGGTGTTGAAATAATGTACGCTACCCCCTCATATATTATAGAACAGCAAGTGTGTGGTGTGGAAATAATGTAAACTACCCCTCATATTTTATAGAACAGCGAGTGTGTGGTGTTGAAATAATGTACGCTACCCCTCATCATTTTATAGAACAGCGAGTGTGTGGTGTTGAAATAATGTACGCTACCCCCATTTTATAGAACAGCGAGTGTGTGGTGGTAAAATAATGTATGCTACCCCCTCATATTTTATAGAACAGCGAGTGTGTGGTGGTGAAATAATGTACACTACCCCCTCATATTTTATAGAACAGCGAGTGTGTGGTGGTGAAATAATGCATGCAACCCCTCATATTTTAATAGAACAGGAGTATGTGGTGGTGGTGGTGAAATAATGCATGCTACCCCTCATATTTTATAGAACAGAGAGTGTGTGGTGGTGAAATAATGTACGCTACCCCCTCATATTTTATAGAACAGCGAGTGTGTGGTGGTGAAATAATGTACGCTACCCCCTCATATTTTATAGAACAGCGAGTGTGTGGTGCTTACCCCCTCATATTTTATAGAACAGGGAGTGTGTGGTGGTGAATAATGTACGCTACCCTCTCATATTTTATAGAACAGCGAATGGGTGGTGTTGAAAAAATGTACGCTACCCCCTCATATTTTATAGAACAGCGAGTGTGTGGTGGTGAAATTATGTACGCTTCACCCTTATTTGTTTATATAAGAAATTCATCAGTGTTAGAATTGTATATAGATTATAATTTGAGCCGCGTCTGCGCAGTCTGATCAGGATCCATGCTGTTCGCTATCAGTTTCTCTACTGGCATGCGAGCAGTTCCCGTACAGAAGAAATACCCGTATTTTTCATTTAAACGCTTGATTTTTACTTGCAATCTTCAAAAATTCATTTCAAATCAAGCAGATGCATAAAAGAAACAAAATCTAAGTGTCAGTTCGGCAGTACGTATAAAAGTCTCATTTTAAATCACTTTCACCTGTGCGTTGTCAAAACGTGACCTTGTTTTTCTCTGGGGGATTCCGTTCTTGCGCGCATGCGCTAAAATATTTACACGTGAGGCCTGTTAAAGGGTTTTCCACTAATACCACCTGTTTACAGATAAGTAGGCAATGTGACGAAAACTTGTTTAATTATCAGAATTTTGATCAATATTACTATATTAAATAATTTTATGGCTTTGATGCATAAAATATCATGCATTCAAGCATGCCATTGTATGAGAATGCGTTGGGGTAACGGTACTGGGTAATAGATACCAGCATTTAGTCTACGCTCTATTTCCTGAATTACATCTATTTATCTCTTAGAAAATGGTCTGTTCAACAATTATAATTGAAAAATAGGTCCGTTATAACAAAATTGTATAATTATAATGAGTTAAATTTTATGTACGGGAACTACTTCTCTTCATACAAAATAATGGATAATTTCGGTACCCCATATGAGGCCTCATAACTAAGGGTTATTCTATGTTTAGAACATGATGGAATTTCCATGATTTGTGTGACGAGCCGACTAGTGATGTGTAACATTCAAATTTTGGTGAGTGAGCGTAATAAAAAATAATTTTTAAGTAACTACAATTTTTGTACGGGAACTGCTCGCATGCCAGTACTTGTAATACGGTTTGAAAGCGAACAACATGGATCCTGATCAGACTGCACAGATGTGCAGGCTGGCTGGATCCATGCTGGTCGCAAACGCATTATGTTGGTTTTGTCGTGATGTGGCTCATTTAAGATTTTACCTTCCAGTCTCCTGGTGTGATTGACATGACAGTCTGATGACGTCTCTGACTACCTCTCTCCTTATTTTTCTGTGCCTCAGCTTGGTCAACTGGGTCTGAATTGAGATATATAGATCTTAACTGATATGATTATGTCTTAATTGAGATAAATTAGTCTGAATTGATGTACATATGTTCATATATCTGAATTGAGACAAACAGGTCAGAATTGATATAATATGTCTGAATTAAGATAAATAGGTCTGAAAATTATGTGCTACAACATAAACAGAAAATTTCATAATCAGGTATCACTTGATTTTTTATTAACATCATCCATATATACATATATAAGAAGCTATGTTTTTATTCCAAAGAAAGCACTTACGTATGGCACCTTTAATCTAATGACACTTGACAGTTACAGATGTATATAAGTTTCAAAACATTTACTCCTCAATAATTGTACAGTCGACTCTACTTATAACGCACTCGCTTATAACGAATTATCGTTAATAGCGAACTAAATTTGACATCCCCGGTCGATTCCTTCTTTCTTTTATATTAAATCACATCGCTTAATACGTACTCGCTTATAGCGAATTTTCGGCTATAACGAACCATTTTTCAAGCCCCAAAGGACGGAAAACATGTAAATTTCCTCGGTTATAACAAACTGTTATAACTGAAATATCAGGATGCGCTCGAATAGGATCAGTACATGAATAACGCTATCCGATAATTAAACAATCGAATGATTGCACAGGTTAATTATGGCTTCAGGCAATACAGATTTTGATAAAATGTTCTCACAACATAATTTCCTACTTGTTACGGAAAATTTGTATTTCACACCCTCAGTTGATTGCTGTTAATACCCGATAATTGCCAAGTAATCGAATTTTTGTGTTTGCAATATTAACCAAACGATAATAAACAAAAAGCAAAAGGAAACAAATGGTAATAAATTCATAGACAATTAATACATGAATAATATATTGCTCAATAAAATGCCCCACATTAAATAACCGCTGCAGTAAAATACCAGTTACACCAGTAACCAGTGAAAAGTATGGCTTTTTCACGGCAAATTTCCCCATCCAAACAAGTTAGCAAGTTGTTGCTACTTCGCTTTTAACGAACTTCGGATATAACGAACGATATTTTTATGTCCCATTGAGTTCGTTATAAGCGGAGTCGACTGTATTTTTACCAAACATTTTCTAATATTCAAACAAACTAAAACAGCTGTGTTATATAATGTTCAATACTACTGGTTGGGGAGATAACTTCGGCTGGTTGATAAACTCGGGTTTTTATTATTAAATCGAGTTATCGGAATTTTTAATCTAATTAAGCTCACCATCTCATACTATCACTGGAATTCGACAATATCTACAGGGCTGCCAACAGCAAAATTCAAAATCAGCGTAAAATACGCCGGGGGTCAAGGGGGCTGCTCAAGCCCCCTTTGCAGGTCCAGGGCAGAGCCCTGGTGGGGGTTCAGGGGGCGAAGCCCCGGAAAGCTCCTGGATTCTGATGATTTGGTATGCCCTAAAATCAATTTCCTGGACTCTAAATTTGACAAATATCCCGACATTTTGACGCATTTTGACAACAGACAAGAGCGGCAATGTAAACTGTAATTTGATTGGTTATTCTAAAATAGAATACCGGAAAAGACTCGATATGAGCAATGAGAAAAGCAATTACAGACGTACCATAGGCGGCTAGCGTAACGATAAAAGCCGAAGCGTGCAGGTTTTTGGGTACTGTATAAAATATGACGAATGAATTTATTGTCTTTGTCGAATTTACATCGATCTCAAAAATGACCCAGGAGCTCACGAAATCCGCGGATTTCCGCGGATCCGCGGAAAATCGGCAGCCCTGTATTTAGAAATTTTGTTAAGTTTGGTAAGATATTTAAAAAATAACACACATTTTTCCCTGTTACATAAAAATGATTTATATGTTACATAGTATGTTGCATATAAATATCGTGTTATCATAGATATTCATTATACTAATGTAATGCTCAACAATTTTGGTTATATTTTTTATTTGGCATAAATGAACAGCAAAGAAATAATAAAATGTCTAAACATGTTATTTTACGTTTTAACTTACTCATTTAAGAAGAAAAACAAAGAGCCGGAATAATCTACTCGCGCGTGTTAAAAATATCCTTTTTACGTACCTCTTCCAGGGCCTCTCTAAATTACCCATTATGTTTCTAAATATAACTTTTATGGTGATACCGGAAATCGAAATGCTGAAGTTTATTATGGTGCAAGATTCATCAGAATACGTAAACAAATAAATGAAATATGCCCCCAAAACACTGATTTTCGGCCGAGTTTATCTCCCAAACCAGTAGACATTTTATCCAATTTTATCCAATCAAAAATTATCATATGAAAATGAAGTTGCCATGTCTTTATATTAAAAATGATAAAAATTTGTCTTTTAAATTTTAGTACTGTACAAGTATATTTTCATTGCATTTAAATTCTAAATTTTAGTACTGTACAAGTATATTTTCATTGCATTTAAATTCTAAATTTTAGTACTGTACAAGTATATTTTCATTGCATTTAAATTCTAATATGTGATATTAGATCATGTATCTTACACTTACAAACTCTATTACAAGTAGAGAAACTGATAGCGAACAGCATGGATCCTGATCAGACGGCGCGGATGCGCAGGCTGATCTGGAACCATGCTGGTCGCAAACCAATTATGTTGGTTTTGTCATGACGCGGCTCATATAATTATTTCATTGTTGCCATGTATGGTACTAAATATTATCAACATAATTACTTATTGTACCTAAGACCTTCACTTAACCATGTAAAAACTCATACAATATAGTTTTCTTACATATGGTGGGCAATCCTTCATTATCTATGACCATCTTGGCTAAACCATCCTGAAGTGTAAAATAAGTTTCCTTCTCATGTTTACAAATAATGATGTTAGTACATACCTCTTATAAACACACAAACTAAGTTAACCAGCACACTTCACTATTCTGCAGTGTTTGACAGTAAGAAAAGGGTCATAACTGTGTAAAGGTAACTCAGAGTTATGGGATCTGTGTCAATCATGTCAGACAATAATAGAGAATAAGAGTGTGAAGTTTCTCTTCAGAAGCTGCATGCAAAAATTTAACCAAAGTGTGACACCGAGGCCTGGATGAGCACAAAATAGCTCTCCCTATTTCTCAAACAGTCTAACATAGTATAATTACGTAACATGTTCATGAAATACAAAGTAAAGTAATAAAGGATGAAGATGTACATTTTATAAGTGCAGACTTATTCTATCTTACTTCAGAACAAAATATATACAGGCAACACTTACTCTGATAAGAAAAGAAACATGGAAGATATTCTCAACAGTGCGACCAAATGAGTCTGGATTTAACACAAAATCAAAATAACTCAGAGGGTCTTTCCCTGTAAATGTATAAAATAAATTTTCACTGCAACACAAAATACTGTTCTAGAGTCATTTAAAAATATATATATATCTTCATGAATCCCAATTTCACCTTTGTATTGTCACTTTTGATCCAAAACTGCTCTCTTCTTTTGGATTTGTTTATTTTATAAAAAAAAAAAATGTCATGCTTTTGTCAAATTAGGCAATTGCACAAACATCAGTTCTATTGTGTTTTCTATCTTCATAAGTAATATATCTGTGTGGTCTAAGGAAAACATTGAAATACGTTTTCTGCAAATGAAACTAGATCTATCACTAAATGTGATTAATACCCCCACAAGACTGCTTCGGAAATGAGGATGTTACTAGTAACAGAATACCTTGTAAAAGAATTGAAATATAGAGTTATGGTTGTGGGCAATTAAAGATAGTTGTGGTTCTTGTATATTGCATTTCCTTTCAATGTGGTTGACCATTGAAGAAGTTTTATTGAATTACTCTGTAATAAGTCCAGAAATACAAAGAAAAGGAACAAAGGGCAATAACTCTATAAATACTGAAGATGGAGTTATAGTTCTTGTGCACTGCACTTCCTCCCTCTTTTTGTGCTTGACCATTGTATGAAGTTGTTTTGAATTTCAACCAGTAAGTTTTAAGTTATGCTCCAGACAAGGAAAAGTATCAAAGGGCAGTAACTCTGTATTTTGTCAAAATGGAGTTATGGCTCTTATGCACTGCACTTCCTTTTAATGTCCTTGACAACTGTATGAAGTTGTATTGAATTCCAAACAGTAGTTTTCAAGTTATGCTCTGGACAAGGAAAAGTAACAAAGGGCAATAACTCTGTAATTTGTCAAGATGGAGTTATGGTTCTTGTGCACTGCACTTCCTCTCAATGTGCTTGACCATTGTATGAAGTTATATTGAATTCCATGGACAAGGAAAAGTAACAAAGGGCAATAACTCTGTAATTAGTCAAGATAGAGTTATGGTTCTTGTGCACTGCACTTCCTCTCAATGTGCTTGACCATTGTATGTAGTTATATTGAATTCCAACCATTAGTCTTCAAGTTATGGTCCGGACAAGGAAAATGCAACGGACGTCTGGACCGGACCGACCGACCGACCGACCGACCACGGGTGACTCCTATATACCCCCCCAAACTTCGTTTTTGGGGGTATAATTACTGGTATTTAAATGGTTGTCTTTTTGTTTTGGATTTTAGTGTTTTCCTCAGCAACTTTTTTTGTTCTGTTTTAAGTCACACCAACACTATAAAGGTCATAAAGAAGTTTTATAAGTGGAGTAAGACCTAAGATGCCACATCGTTAATTACGTTTCAGGCACATGCAGGCACCGTAGTAGAACTGCCACTTTGTAAGCTAGATGCATAGTTTCCTCACATGAAAGAATCCAAAGTCTACGGTGGGTTTAGAATCAACAGCTACCAGGAGGAAGTCATTTGATGTCAATGAATTTAACCACTCAGCCGCAGACAAATAAGACTCAGTTTCTGGTTGTATCACAAATTTGACGGAAATATTATGACATTTACACATGTACATGATAACCCATACAAACATACATTCTTCTAACCGTTACCTTAGCAACACAAAGTGCGCATATCTCAGTATCACATTGCCTGTATTACCTAAACTATCTCTCATAAATGAGCCGCGCCATGACAAAACCAACATAATGCGTTTGGGACCAGCATGGATCCAGACCAGCCTGCGCATCCGACCCTATTACAAGTAGAGAAACTGATAGCGAACAGCATGGATCCTGATCAGACTGTGCAGATGCCAAGCTGGTCTGGATCCATGCTGGACGCAAACACACTATGTTGGTTTTGTTGTGACGAGGCATAAATGTTTCACAATCAAATATATGAATGTCCCTCACCATCACCTATCTCTTGGTAAAGATCTCTCAGTATTTGTAAAACCCTCTCTACTTCTTCTGTTGTTGCCTCGCTCTGATCTGTTGTCTTAAAATCCTTCAGCTAAAACACAATATCAACATATTTCATATAATAATTCATTGTAAGACAAAGACAACAAAGTTACAAATCTACATTACATTACTGTTACATTAATGGGATTACAAGACATGAATAATAGAAATAAGCAGCCAGATGTACAGTCTTTCCTTTTGTATGTTTTGCCAATTATACTTAAAACGATTTATTCAAAACCTTTGAAATTAAAATTTTAACAAATACCTTTAAAAATTCATATGTCAAAGGATAATCATATTTAAAATAGGAAAAAATCTTTGTCATGCTTTCAGGTTAAAGAACTTGTTACATACTTAGTATACAACATCCTACAGAAATATGCCCCTTAACATTCAAAACTTTATAAATTTGCACTAAAATAGTAAACAAAAGAAAGAAAAATATTTGTATATTTGGCAACTGTTTAATATCAAACTGTACTTACCTGTTGAGGCACAGTTTCTTTCCCAACAATGTTGTCTTTTTCTTTTGGAGCCCTCTGTTGTCTTTCCTTCACAGGTTTAGGTCCTCTCTCAAATGACCCAAGCCTAATAAATACAAAATGCAGTCCTTTCTAAGCAAAATACAAGAAACATGGAAAGGCTAAGAAACCAGATTTTTAATTATCACCATTGTAATAAATTTGGTTCTAGTTTGCATACTTGTTTGTTTGTTTAATTTTATGCCTTTTCCCAACAGTATTTCAGTCATATAACCAACTTTTCTGGAGAGTTACACCAGTACTAGACTACCTTCCTCCGTGCTAAACTACCAAAGCATCTTCTAGGGATCAAACCCACGCCAGGGAGGTAACTGGATTAGAAGTCATTGACTCTAACCCCTAAACCAGGTAGGCGGTGTAGTTGGCATACAAATACAAGCAATGTACAATGTAAAGAAACAAAAGAAACAAGCAATTATCATAGTATTGCAAGCAATCCATAAGTCCCCTACCGGTAAGAGCCCAAGCAACATTCTGAAGGGCCATTGGCCATTCACTTAGGTTCCTATTTTAAGTAAATTTGTCGAAAAAGTTCTTTAAAAGTGATCACAGGAAACAGTTTTTATGTACAGACAGACGGACTGAAGGACACTCTAAATTTATTTTTTAAACATCCCTGTTATCAAAATATAACATTTTTAAAATCCTATCATGATTGAAGAAGTTGGAGTAAACATTACCAATTTCTCAAAAAAAGTCTAAGTTCAAAAGGGGCATAATTCTGGAAATAGTCTTGCTAGAGTATTGAACACTCATAAATGTTGAGTGATAATAAGAAACATTTATATGAAGTTTGAAGTAGATACATTCAGAAAAAAGAAGTTATTAAAAAAACAATGTTTTTTTTTCATGAAAATTTTAAGTTCAAGGGAGGTAATTCTGAAAAATTTTGTGCTAGAGTTGTAAACCTTGTCACATATGATGTGGTTGATGACAAGCAATTTATATTTAAAGTTTGAAGAAAATACCTTAAGAAATAAAGAACTTATAGTGAAAAAACTTAAAAACTAGAATCCGGAATCTTGAAATTCAGTCTATTTGTTGCCATAGCAACAAGAATTTTCAACATAGGAAGATAAGAAAAGAATGTGCATAATTTCTATACCGCCATCTACCCATATGTCAAGTTTCATAAACATATTTTCAGTACTTTTTGTGTTATCACTGGATCCAGGTTATGTGTAAAATTTGCCATATTTTCAGTCTATTTGTTGCCATAGCAACCAGAATTTTCAACATAGGAAGGAAAGAAAAAGACCTGCATAATCTCCATACTGCCATCTATCTATATATCAAGTTTCATAAAAATATTTTCAGTACTTTTTGCGTAATCGCGGGATCCAGGTTATGTGTAAAATTTGCCATATTTTCAGTCTATTTGTTGCCATAGCAACCAGAATTTTTAACATAGGAAGAAAAGAAAAAGACGTGCATAATCTCCATACTGCCATCTATCCATATATCAAGTTTCATTAAAATATTTTCAGTACTTTTTGCGTTATCGCGGGATCCAGTTTTGTGGACGGACGGACTGACGGACGGACAGACGGACGGACTGACGGACGGACGGACGGACAGACGGACAGACGGACGGAGGGTAAACCTAAAGTCCCCTCCGGTAAACCGGTAGGGGACTAATAAGCATACAGTTTGTAATTACTGCAGATGAAAAAACCAATATTGTACTGACATTGATCCATGGGAGTGGGGGGGAAATAAACAACTCCAAGCCATGTCTTCACATAAATTTGCTACATACCAAGTTTCTGTGAAATATCTCATTCCAAACCACTAGTTATTGACCAGAAACCAAATAATCTTTTATAGCAGCGATTTTTTTCCCTATATAAGTGGTACCGAATAACGGACCCATTCACAATCACAAACGGACCTTCACAATTTTCAGACTGGGTCCGACAGAGCTGTTCACAATTCTGATGAAATTTCACAATTCTGATTAATTAAGTCTTTAATAACGTATTATTTCCTCTCTTCTCATAATGATGCTAAAATTTTGCCTGTTGTGCTTTGTTTATCCTAAAACGTGTTTAGCCAATAATGATTTCCGGTGCATTCTCCCTTTAAATTTTCGTACTGTTTAAATACCAAACTTCTAGGGACGAATTAATATTAAAACAAGCGCCTGGTAATTTCTGTAAACATCATTCAAAATGTCTCGTGACAGTAAATACTATGTTAAAAAAATTATATGTTCTTACTGCTTAATAAGATATTAACAATCTTAATTAAAATATTCTCAATTTGTGAAGAAACAACGCCTTTTTTCACAATTTTTATGGTACCGGACCCATTCACAATTCAGAGAAAAAAATAGCTGTATAGTTTTGTAATTATTCTACTTAAAGGCAATTTTGACAAAAATTCTTTATTATGAATGGGCATCACTGCAAAAATATAGCTTTCAGAATTATAAATGACCCTTGTGAATGTAAAAAAAACTGCCTCTTGTCAAGATAAGCAATTATATTTAAGTTTAATATTTGAGCCGCGTCACAACATAACCAACATAATGGGTTTGCGACCAGCATGGATCCAGATCAGCCTGCGCATCTGTGCAGTCTGATCAGGATCCATGTTATTCGCTTACAAACGCTATAACAAGTAGAGAAACCGATAGCCAACAGCATGGATCCTGATCAGACTGCGCGGATGTGCAGGCTGGTCTGGATCCATGCTGGTCGCAAATGCATTATGTTGGTTTTGTCATGACGCGGCTCATTTATATATTGATAAGTTTGTTTAAGTAATGGGCAACATTTAAGTTTTTTCATGACAATAACGACAAGGCAGGATCAAGGGATCATAAAATTTCCAGTTAAATGATGAGAGTCTACATAATTATTGATAGTAAAACTTACATATACTGGAAGGTAGGTGCTCGTTTAAAGAATGGCTGAGTGGCTTTACCTAACCTTGCCCAACCTAATGCAGATATTCTTGCACTTTCTGACTGGGATGCAGTCTGTCCACCAACAAAATTAATCTGAAAATTCACAAAACTTCATTTCACCAACAACATACCATTTACCTTATCCATTTTTTGTAACAAACTTACTTTGATTTAAAACTGCCTGTCTCTTTTTCAAGGAATTTCAAATCATAACATTACTAGAAATGGGTCCATAGGACATGGATGCACCAATACTCCCACTATTTTGTCAGTCCACTGATGTACAGAAAGACAGGAAGACAGAGGGACAGACAACCGAAATTCTGCATGACTCCTCCTACCAAGTGGTAGGGGTATAATAACGCCATCCAATTTTACCGACATTGTTGACATCTTGAATTTTTCCAATATTAAGAATTTCTAATCTCAATTTGATATCCTAAAATATGCTTAATAGAGCATAAAAACAAGCTACACAAACTACACATGCTGACCAACAGCTCTGTAAAGTTGAAAATTTTTAGGTCAAATACTTTTTGAGTTCCGCAAGACACAAGCTTAAAATTGCAAATCATTTACTAACTCAAGGACCATAACTCTACAAATACTCAATAAATCCACAAGCAAACCCCCAAGTGAATAACTACACATGCTTACAAACATTCCTGTAAAGTTTCAGGACTCCAGATCAAATATTTTTTTGGACTACGCAAGACACAAATTAAAAATTGCAAATTTATATTAAGTCAAGGGCCATAACTCTAACAACAAGGGCAACATTGTGGCAATACATGACCATCACAGAAGCTTTTGAAAGAGATGAGGGCATTATAGATATGCATATAGGAGATAATATGGGCTGGGCAAAATTCAGAAAATATCTAGATTTATTACCCCTCACTTTTTTCGTAATGCTAATTTCCCATAGGCCTCTGGGAGTAATTCTTACTGTTAATGCAAGTGTACCACGTGACTACAAATTTCGTACTGTTACATAGGTAACAGTATTTTTTAACAGTATAAAATCTGATCATGGTCTATTTTCTAAATAAAATGAAATAAAATGGCCGCCATTTTTTTCTCGATTCATTCTTATTTTCGACGATAGTGCATCGCCGAAGTAACTATTACTCTGATAAAATTTAGTTCTTTGCAACCTAGAGTCCCTTTCGCGTATTAAATATCTTTTTGTTTAATAGTCAACAGGAAACATCCGTTTTCAACGGAAGTAATTGTAATGTAAATAATTTTGTGTCAAACTGGAACATGCAGACATAAAGCGTGCAACAAAGGATAATTTAACAATTTTAACCAGTGAAACGTTACAGATAGGGTTGGTGGACAGACATCTGTAGGATATCATCGTTATTTTCTAAATGCACTTTGTCAAAAACCATTCGAAGAATATTCTGGATGCAGAAGGATCAGATTTCACAGATCATAACCTTATAAATGGGTTAGTGTTTTGTTTTCTGAATAAAACACAGCTTATTTTATGTTTATGACTGGTAGATATCGTCACTTGCCTAAAGAATAAAAGAAAAACAGCTTCTCAAGTAGGCCTACAGTGCACTTAAAACTTGCAAGGTAAGGTCTAAGGACAGTTTAGTTATTGCTTCTCTTGGCTTATTTTTGTTACAGTTAGATTTAGTTGCCAAATTCAGATTATCACAGTATTTGTTCGGGGTAATAAAATAAATAACACATGGGTTTGTGGGTAACAGTAAAAATATCATCCCTCGTATAAATACTGTTACCCTCGGCTACGCCTCGGGTAACAGTATTTTCCTCGGGATGATATTTTTACTGTTACCCACAAACCCATGTGTTATTTATATAATATTATCATCTCTAGTTTTCTTATATCTGAACTTTGACCCCTATGTGTGACATTGACCTTGACTGCAGGGACTTACATTTTGCTCTGGATAAGGGTATTTCAATGACCTCTTAGTGTGACCTTGACCTTTAACCTAGAAACCTGGTTCATGTATGTGACACAGCTTCTCGAAGTGGTGAACATTTGTATGAAGTTTCATCAGAATCCCTCCTCCGTATGTGTAGGATACATGCTCCGGACAAAATCTCTATATTTTATCATCTTTAGTGACCTTGACAATCATCTTTAGTAAACTTGAATTTGCATATATTAACCTAAATTACATGTTTCACACCAGTAGTCATGATAATGAACATTTGTGTTTCAATCTCTCAATAAATGATAATACACATTTTCATATTTGTATCTGAAATTTGATCCCTATGTGTGACCTTGACCTTGGCTGCAGTGAGCTAAATTTTGCATGTGGCACTCTGCCTCATAATAGTGAACATTTGTGCCAAGTTATAATTAAATCTCTCTATGCATGTAGAAGTTTTGCTCCGGACCAATGTTTTTTTAATGACCTCTAAGTGTGACCTTCACCTTTGACCTGGAGGCCTGGTTCATGCGTGTAACACAGCTTCTCATAGTGGTTAACATTTCTATGAAGTTTCATTAAAATTCCTAAATGGGTGTAGGAGATATGCTCTGGACAAAAGTCAGACACCGATACCCCTGGGACACACACTTTTAGAGCTACATGTGACACAACAGTTTGGAAAAGATGCACAGACGGACAAGGGCAAATTTAATTGCTCCACACCCCAAAGAGTGGAGTAATAAAAATGCAAATAATGTACATGACATAGTTATGAGTCTTGGATATTGACCAAAAATTTTTGTAAATTTCTGCCACAGAAAGAGACCACAAATTGTAATTCTAAAAGCATGAAGCAAGTTTTTAAGTGAATGCAATCTATGGTTTTAAGAAAGATTTATGCTGCAAGCCAAACTTTTAAACCAAACATTTTAGAAATTCAGTAAATATCCATGTCAGAGGTTATGACCTTCTGTAAGCTAGCTAGATAGCTTCCTCTGGCACATGAAACAATCCAGATGAAACAAAGTCAGTGGCGACAGGGAAATGGTCCCAAGTCAATCACTTTAGCCACCTTGCCACAGAAACCTCAAAGGTATGATCACAATCAGCTTCTACTCCAAAATTATATATTAAACCGAGAATTTGATGCATATCAATTTCAAGTCCATCAAATAATGATCTTCAATAATTTGCAACTGCAAGACAATTTAATGTAAAAAATATAACTTACTAATTTACTAGCAAATTCTGTAGGCTGAAATCTCACAAACTCTGTATGTAATGCCTGAGCTTTCATGCGCCCAATGTTGGCAATCATCGACATGGCTTGAGAGTCAAGCGCAACCTCCCGAGCACATTTAACTAATAATATTAAACAAACAATTAAAACATGTAGTATTTCAAACATGCAATAGTTTAGAAAACATTAGCATAACAAAATCATCATCTTACATATCTAGAAATGAATATCAGTTGCTATGAAACTTTAATGTTATAAGACGCATAATCTGCAATTCAGCGTTTTTTCCTTCTTGAAATGATAAGAACAAGAGCTTTCAGTAGGAAAGAGGGCTAAATTATGTTCAGTGGAAAAAATAGGATGATTTTATCCAAAAAAAATTTATGGCAAAGTTATGAGTCTTTGATATTGATAAAGAAGCTTTAAAAGTTCATAAAGGTCATATTTCATTAAAAGTATCAGCCTTAAAAAGTGACCTCTATTTATGATCCAAAAGATAAAATAATATTGAAGGCACAACTTAACATGCAATTTTCTAAGTTCACAAAGGGCCCAAACTCTGCCAAAATCCATGCTAAAAGTAATAACCCTTAACAGTGACCGCCTATTATGACCTCAAAATGAAATAAATGTGAGAAGTTACAAGCAAACATCTTTAGTGGTTGATCTGACATGATGTTGTGCAAAAAGTTGCTCCAAAGTCTTATGCTGATGCCAATGTGAGAAGGATAGCCCTACTCTTCTTTAAATAGTAGTGCTAAACATAACTACATTTGTAATATCACCAGTGCACCAGTACTTACATACTGGAAAGCACATATCCAAATGTCAAGTAATCAAGGACTCTTTAAGCACAATTCAGGGGATAACCATTTTTAGATTGTTTCCATAATTACAAAAATAATTTGTAGTTCTTGAAACAAACATGAAAAATTTATGCAAGATTCAAAAACTTGCTTCAGAAGTGAACATCATAGCCATAACCATATGTTTAAATTAAATTAATTGCCTGGTTTAAACAATTCATCAGCTTCTCTGAGTCTTTCACTGAGCTCATTTGATTCTGGGTTGATCAATTCTTCACGATTCTCTACAAATAAAATTGAAAGAATAATATACATGTTAACTTGAAGATATATTTTAACATGTGGTTACATAAGCCTATATTGTAAGCTGCAGTTTCAGCTATATAATATAAATCACATGTTACAAGCCAAAATTTGTATGTGAAAAAAATCTGATGGAATTTTTAAATATTCGAAAATTTTAAATAAAAGAATGACAGTCACACCTTCAGCGATCAACTTTTGTTTTCCATTTTGATACACAGAATTGACTAGCTCTATAAATGCAACAAATGTACCTCAAACAAAAACAAGAGCTGTCACAGGAGACAGCTAAGCTTGACTAATTAAATACTGGATGCAGTAAGGGAGACAAAACTATGAAAGAAAAATCCATTATAATATAAATATATTTCCTTTCATGACAAGAAGTTATAGTTGTTAACATTAATTCCAAGTTCAAGGGGGAATAATTCTAGAAATATTCACACTAGAGTTATGGACCTTGTCATACAACATGTGCCTAATTGATAAGAAATATATATTATTTTTGAAGAAGATACCTTAAAAAGTAAAAAAGTTATAATATTTCTTAAAGAAAATCCCAAGTTCAAATGAATATAAATCTGAAAATATTGCTTCAAGAGTTATGAACCTTGTCACATTAGATCTAGTTGATGATAAGGAATATGTCATTGAAGTTTGAGGTAGATACCTTTAAAACTAAAGAAGTTATAGTAAAAAATAACATTTTCAAGTAAATAAATCTTAGTTAATGGGGAGATAATTCTTGCAATATTGGTGCTAGATTTATGAACCTTGTCACATAAGATGTGGTTAATGATAAGGAACATATATTTGAAGTACTAAGTTGATCCCTTAAGAAATAAAGAAGTAACAGTAAAAAACAATAATATTTTTAAGGAAAATTCCAAGTTCAAGGGAAAGTTAATCTAAAAAGAGTTATGAACCTTGTCACATAAGATGTGGTTAATGATAAGGAACATATATTTGAAGTATTAAGTTGATCCCTTAAGAAATAAAGAAGTAACAGTAAAGAATAATATTTTTTAAGGAAAATTCCAAGTTCAAGGGAAAGTTAATCTTAAGAGTTATGAACCTTGTCACATAAGATGTGGTTAAAGATAAGGAACATATATTTGAAGTTGATACCTTAAGAAATAAAAAAGTTATAGTGAAAAATATTGTACTGCACCAAAACTTTAATCTGAAATCTGGACGTGGACACCGACGCCAGAGCAAGCAGGACAGCTCTCGATATACTTTGTATAGTCAAGCTAAAAATTGTTGATTCAAGGGTGAGATTAATCACTTAAATCTGACATTTTTGAAAGCGTTTACCCCTTTAAAAAGTTTAAAAGTACATGAACCTTGGAATTATTTTTCAGGACCACATTATATGCCTAAGTGGCCAAAGATGATCTAAAGGATGGTGCTGTTGTTTATTGCATAGAATTATCATTACATGTCCCTGTCAAACTGTTCAATTGCCTTGTTATGACGCTTATATGATAATTATCAATTTGCAATAGAATTTTGGAACCTCTGCAAAGATGTTTTCAATTAAATTTAACAAGTTTATAGGAGACATTTATCTCGGAAATATTTATTTCTATTCACAATACTAATTAAGTTTACAAAGAAACTGATAATATGTCATTTGATTGTCCGGTTACTTGTTGCTATTCCTACAAAATAAGTATCCTTTCCTCAAAACATTTTATAATTTATTCAAGTTATGTGAACTTATGTCTTATATTGTATAACATAAACAGAAAGAAAAATATTTGGTAACTGTCACTTTTGTGAGAATTATTTCCCCTTTTTCATGTTTATATAACACATAATTTTCCAAGTCCTTAAAAAATATGTTACATATACAAAGTATAAAACAAAATAGGTTAAATAACTTCTTTATGATCCAATTCATTGCGCCAACACCTGTCAGCATACATTTCATTCAGTTTTCAAAGGAAACTTCAAAGTATAATGTTCAGTGTCAAAGAATTGTCAAAGTATTTATGCCAGAAACAGAATATTAAATCCAAATATATAGAATAAAGGTACTGGCGCAATAATTTTGAGCAAAATGAAGATGTTGGACACATTTCTGTCAAGAATTTTACATTGCAACATACTTTTTAAGGACTTCAAAAATTATGTGTCATATAAACATGAAAAAGGGGAATAATTCTCAAAAAGTGAAAGTAACCAATTATTTTTTCTTTTTGTTTATTTCATATATTATGTTCAATAAACAAACAAAGTTTAAAAGAAATATCTTTATTATTTTTCTAGAAATATGATTTTTATGTCATAAGCCCAATCGGGCATTTTCACCAGCCTGCTAATTTATCAGCACTTTGTGCTTCAAAATTAACTCTGTACTCGACAGCGAAAGCTGCATTTTGTGCCTGTGGAAAGGTTTGAAATTCGAATTTTGTGTGTATCAGATGCTACTGACGGTTGTGAGTTGTCCAACTTAATGTATTTAGTAGTATTATTTAGTAAATTCAAGTAATTTTGACCCGTATTCAGCTGACATACATGTATTAGTCTATGTTTACGTACCAAATTGTTGTGCCGCAATTCTGTCTACCAAGGATTTTTAGCACGAATTCCCTCATTTCCTGATAGATATTTCATGAACGGGAAGGGCTAAAGACTTGGGGTTGGTCTCATTTTAAGCTTAATACGGGGAAGTCAAAGACCGGGCCCGCGAAGCGGGTCCGGGCTTTGGCTTGCCCGGCTATAGACTACACGTGTATATTTAAAAGAAAATCAAATAAAAAACAATTAAAAAATATATAGAATTCTATACCTATCAATGAAATTTTCAGTGTCAGTTCTAGTCGGGCGCCGCCATTTACAATGTAACTCAATGATAATAGGCGGGGTATTCCGATAACGGAACAAATCTCAACTTTTCGGATTAATAATAATCGTCGAGTGTTCCGAGTGAAAACGGAAGCGATGCATTAAATACCAAATGACACCTTTAAAACGGAAAGAATGAAACTAATTTTTAACGACTTCCCCGTTCATAGGCTTTGCCTAATTTCATATTATAAACGTGAAATAGTGATAAGTTTTATTTAATTCTTGGGCCAATTGTTTTCACAACGGACCAGGAAATGAATCCCTTGCTTGTAGGCTCGAATCTGGAGTTTCCGGCCTTCTCTTAACTTATAGTATATTTTTAAAGAGGGTCATTATTTACATTTTTTTTGACACTTTTAAGATGAACACAGGTTTTTTTATTAATCTGGTCATTTTTTTTTCTTCCCAGGTCCGATACTCGTGCCTGTGACTAGAAGTTGCAAGTTTGGAAAGTTATGATGCCATGACTTTCATTGTAATATCTAAAAATTTATCATGTGACAGAAATAACAGTACAAACTATATAAAGTAAAATGTTTTTACATATACCTTGAAGTTCGTCAATTAAATTCCTGTATCTTAATCTAATTTGTCTCCTTTCTTCACGGTTTTGCTGAGTTTCCTCTTGAAATCCTTCATTATCCGCCATTTTCAACGGTGTTGTAGTAAAGCGTGTTTTTGTAATGTTTGTAAATTAGTAAATTACCGCTATGATTGAACACCGCTAAAAGATTCCCTTCCATAAATGCAATATATAGAGGATATTGAATGAGTGCAAGTTCAATACTGAATAAATTGAATAGAATTATAATACATTACATTACATTACAATTACATTACATTATTGGAGAGCATATTATCTTATTTAACAAGTTCAAAAAATTCAGTAATGAACCTACATGAATATAATTTTCTATTTATCACATACCCAGAATAAAGACTGTTCAAAGGGAAAAAGAATTATTTTTCATGGACGCGCCTATAGTGTAATGTTTGCATTTAGCACGTCTTTACATTAATATTATGTTTGTATAAAATTTAGCACGTCTTTACATTATGTTTGTATAACACAAATGATGTTACGTCAAAATATATGCACAGCCGTGCAATACCATTTTTACGGAGTCGCAAAAGCAGCACAGGTGTGTAATAAATTTAAATATTTCTAGGGATGTATAATAAACTTTTTTGATATTTCTAAAAAAAAAAAAAGAAAAAGAAAAAAAAAACCTATATGTATTGTGGTATGAACTTTTATGTAGGACAAAATTAAACTGAAAGCAGATAATTAAACAAGGGCCATCAGTGATGACATGTGTCATGCCTCATGATCATCATAACTTGGCAAAAGATCATTCAACCTTAAAATCTGTCTCCTGTAAAGTTTCATTGAAATTGCATTAGTGGTATAACAGGAGTAGTCCGGACAAATTTCAAAATTAAAATCATGAAAGGGCCAAAACTCTGACAAAAATCAATGAACCAAAATATGTTGATGAGATGCACAACTAGACATGGTATTGATCATTCCCCTAAAATTTTGATGAAATTGCACCAGAGTTTCTGAGGAGTAGTCCAGACAAACTTCTGTGTAGCTGGCAACACAAAAAACACCTTTTTTATTCAAGGGCAATAACTCGACCAAAAATTATTCAAATGAAAAACTTGTGTCTATGCACAAGTACTTACCAATTAATCCTGTAAAGTTTCATTGAAATTGCATTAATGGTATATGAGGAGTAGTCCGGACAAACTTTTATTATTTCAAGGGCCATAACTTGGCTAAAAATAATTCAAGCAGAAAACCTGTGTAATACAGTAAACTCCGCTTATAACGAACTCATCGGGACATTTGAAATCTGTTCCTTATAGCTGGAGAAACTTCCTTGTAAGCATAATAGCGAATTCGTTCCTTGTATAAGAGTTTTTATAGCGAACAGATTTGCATATAATGAACTGATTGTTTACCATCATCCTCCATTTTGAAAAGCATTTGTTTTAGAAAAATTAGTCACTTATATCTTTTTTAGACACGATACCAGAGAGTGTCCTTTTTTGAAATTTAAAAATCCTTTGTTATTTCAGTTTTAGTTTTACTCCCTTTCACAATTTCTCATAAAATACATTACATACATATTTTGTTTCTAAACACAGTGCTTTTCGTTTTCTTACCATGATTAAGAATACACAAGATTTTCGATTTTTCTTCCTTTTATATCAAGTATCTTCTATTATATTTTAAGCGTGACTTTTACTTATAAAAGATAAAGATTTCTTTTCATTTCAATCAATCCTACTTTGTGTGATTATGTTGAAACCCGATTATAAATGATCATAATTATTTTACTTGAGCAAAACTATTTAAGAAAAGAAATAATAGAATAAAAGGAATAACCATTTTTATTTGTTTGGGTCACCTGGAATAAATATATGTTGATATCTTTTTGGTTTGCAAAATTTGTATTAAAAATAAAATGTAGAGGACTGTATAACTTCTGGTAACGTATCTGTTTATCATTGTAACATATCTGTTTAGAAAGAGATTTGAGTACTGTTTAATATATATATAACTAAATCTTCAACAAAACTTAAATGGTTTAAATTAGTAATATATGGTTTGGCAATATATAACAGCACTGTAACGTAATGGAAAAAAAACATATTAAAGTATTTTTAAATAAATGCCCGTTAGTTCAGCATTGTATCAAGATAGTATGTCTATGGTAGGAATGGACTAATTTGGATATAGATCAAAACCTTGGAGGTGCACATATAATATTATATGGATTGATTATAATACTAAGTTGGTTTTCTTTAAGGGGTACCATTGTGACTGATATAATTTTGTTAAATGTAGATAAGCATATTATGATATACATGTAGGCTTACTCATATCACCAAGTATGACACAATCAAGGATCGAGATTGTACCAGTATATAAAGACAATTGAACAGCAGATGAACCAAAAAGACAAACGAAATACAGAATGTCAATTCACACTATGAAACACTCACATTAATCTAGCTGTTACATATTCTAGTAGATGGGTGTCTTTATTTAAATGTTCTTGTTAAAGTCACAATGTTATTTGGCTATTTGAAGCTACAGTCAGAAAACAATAAAACCTAAAAAAACTGGAAAAGATTTTGTGTGTTCTATTTAAAATTAAAAGTACTGGTTCAGACATATTATTTATTGGTCAGTTTTTAAAAAAACTTTTCATAATTTTTTCATAATTTTGTTCATAATAGAACGGTGAAACAGATACGTTACTATGATTTAATATTCGTTTCCACTTAGCGGAATAAATTTATACTGTTAAGTAAATCCGAGCTACATTGTGTCAATAGATAAGTATGGAACATCAGTATTTTTATTGGCCTAAAATGCTTTTATAAGTAAATCATGTATTTGGAATAAAAAAGTCTGATTTAGATAAGTAACATTGTCATCAGCTTCAGTTCGATGTGGATTTTTTTTAAAATGCATAGTGATGCATAATATTTTGTAATATATACTGGTGCTATATTGTTGAAAGAATGATAATAAATTTTTAAATTGTGTATATTCATGCTTAGTATTTTTATTTAATCTCTGAAAGCAATTGGAAAAATGGTAACGTATCTGTTTTTTGCACAAATCTCGAATTCTTGGTGTCTATCTCCTATTAACTAATATTAATTAACAATGTTATTTAGCATTAGATTGCCATACACATACATGTACATATATTTGTACAACTACATAAAGTACAACATGTTATTTATATCTGAACATGTCTTTAATATATCAAAAGAAGGTAGATTTAAGCTTAAATAAACAACTTCTAATAAAGTTTTTTTACAGTAAAAGAAGATTAAACATATTAAACTTATTATTTTTCATGGAGGAGGCGCGTACTGTAGGGAGTAAAATGACTATAAATTACCTAGTTTATTGAGATATATAGAAAATAATAAGATTATCAACATATGAGCCGCGTCATGACAAAACCAACATAGAGTGTTTGGGACCAGCATGGATCCAGATAAGCCTGCACATCCGTTCAGTCTGATCAGGATCCATGCTGTTCGCTTACAAACCCTATAACAAGTAGAGATACTGATAGCGAACAGCATGGATCCTGATCGGACTGCGCAGATGCGCAGGCTTGTCTGGATCCATGCTGGTCGCAAACACTTTATGTTGGTTTTGTCATGATGCGGCTCAAATATTGAAGATTTAAAGTATGGTCTGGCACCCAGGTAAACAAATAATTTATATCAGGGTTCAACATTTATCATATTATGTTTAATTTCTCTTCTGACATGTTATTAGTGTTATTTAAGGAGTGACTAATCATTAAATAAAGTAGTTTAAGGACATTTTCTAGAATTTATTAACATTGTAGACCTATCACAGCACTTTTCATATGATTATATTTACACTAACTAAGTTTAAAACATATCATAGTGTCATATAAGTGTTATAAAGGGGAGAGTAGATAACTCCTGCTATTTAGTGGTATTTTCATTTATTGGCTATAAAAGTTTCTTTTTTTCCTATATTATTAAAGAATCTTATGTTGTAATTTGTTAGATTAACTCTTTTAAACTCTCAATAAGTTGTATTCAATTATATTGGATATATCTTGTGTGTATAGAACTACTTATTCAGTTAATTTAATTTGCAAGCTGAAAAATCAGTGCGAGGTCCATTTTCACAGTTCTCTCCCTTGGACTGTAAATGGCCATTATAATTGATTATGTCATAACTTATTTAGCTTCCGATGGAATTTGATGGGGTTTTCTTCTCCAAGTCAGTTAAAAATTGTTGTTAATAGATATTATTATATCAAATTAATAAACTTGTAGGAGAAGTTAAATTAGGGTAAAATTACCTCATTTATTGTTGGATAATAATGACTTCTTATCTTGAAATTGTTAGGCTATATAGGATAATCATTGTAACTTTTATACAAGTTCATAGAATTTCATAGGGATTTTTTGGACCCTTAAAGATGTTTGTTAATAATTATCATACAATTGTATGGAATTTTATAACTGTTTTGGTTATTTTTGGGATTTATTAAGCCTAATCTTATTAAATTAGGGTTAATTATTTCACTAAATATTTTCTATTTTTAGGAGAATCTTAATGAATTTGGTTTTTTAAGTAAAAACACGATCCTTATTGATTTAATTTATAGGGAATATCTATAGATTAATTTGTCTCCTCTGTAGTTTAGGTTATTAGGTGATGTTTAATGCAAAAGAAACTAATCTGGTATGGACTTTACTAGAGATACAACTTACAAATTATATGAAATAAACAGGTGTTTTTGTTTTTTTGTTTTGTTTTGGGTTTTACGTCACATCAACACAGTATAGGTCATATCACGACGTTCTAGCTTTACTGGTGGAGGAAGACCTCAGGTGCCCTTCCGTGCATTATTTCAGGCACGAACGGGCACCTGAGTAGAACCACCGACGTTCCGTAAGCTAGCTGGATAGCTTCCTCACATGAAAGAATCCAAAGTCCCTGTCGGGATTCGAACCCACAGCGGTGAGTGGCAAGTGGTTTGAAGTCAACGACCTTAAAACAGGTGTCAAAAAGTAAAAAAAGGAAATTGAAAATTCTTGGTGCAGAGCTTGTTCTAGATGGTGCAGGTTGACTACAGGTGGTTCGTACCATC